GTGAGCCCTCTGAAAACTTCTCCTAGTGCAGAGAGTCATGGCTAATGTGTCTTCCTTCTGGCTGAGCCTTAGAGGCCCTGTTGTATGCCTATGGCTTCAGCCGTGTGAAAGTACTGCTGGTTCGGCTCATCATCTGCGCTGTGATGATCAAGTTCTGCCATGCTGTTGTGAGGCGCCTACGACCTTGGTGTTCCCAAACCCATGTGCACTTAGGACATCTGTTATTGACTTTACATGCTCTTGAACAGGACAGAATTGACGAAGTTTGTTGTAGTTTCTCCCTTATCTAGGAGTTACTGCATGGTATCCCATAGGAAACTGTCCTCAGAGACATAGGAATGGAACGCTGCTGCTAGCACTCTAAGAACACCTTTCTGAGAGCACAAGAGTTCTCAATCCCTCAGCAGGGAAAAGAAGGAAATGTATAAGCGGTGAAAGCAGGGATACTGGCCTGGAAAGAATGCAGGGATACCATCTGAATGTGTAAAGATGGGATCAGTAATGCCAAGGCACAGATGGAACTGAGCTTGATGAGGAATGTGAAAATTAACATGAAGGGGGTCTAGAGAAACAATGGTCAGAATAGACGGACAAAAGAGAGTGTACCTCCTCTGGTAAATGAGAAGGGAGGACTAGCTTCAACAAACATACAGAAAGCTGAGGTACTCCGCAAGTTCTTAGCCTCAATATTCATTGGCAGTCAGGCTTCTTATGTCTCTTTTGTGTCACTGATCTTTTAGGCGGGTTAAGGGTGCAAAATCCCTCCCACTGAAAGAACAGAGCAAGCCATATACTGCCTCATAAGGCTGAAATTGTACTCTATGGGGCCAGATAGCATGCGTACCAGGGTCCTGGTGGAATGGGTTGATGTGGCCACCAAGTCCATCTCCATCGTATTTGAAAAGTCAGGGCTGTGAGGCAAAGGCCTGGTGACTGGAAAAAGGGAAACAATCACTCCCATTTTAAGAAAGGAAGACCTGGGGAACTATGGACTGGTGAGCCTCATGTCTGTGCCTGGGAAGATCAGAGCAGATCCTCCTGGAAGCTATGTTGAAGCACATGAGAGACATGGAGGTGATCTGAGATGGCCAACACAGCGTCTTCATCAATGACATCGACTATGGGGTTGAGTGCATTTTCAGCAAGCTTACCTATGACATGAACATGTGGGGTTGACACACCAGAAGGATGGGATGCCACGCACAGGGACCTAGACAGGCTTGAGAAGTGGGCCAATGTGAACCTCATGAGGTTCAACAAATCCAAGTGAAAGGTCTTGCACCTGAGTCAAGGCAGTCCACATTGCCAGTACAAATTGGGAAATGAAATGATTGAGAGCAGCTCTGCTGAAAAAAAAATTGGGGGGACTGGTAGATGGCAAGCTGGACATGAGCCAGCAATGTGTCCTCACAGCTCAGAAAGCCAACTGTATCCTGGGCTGCATCAAAAGTAGTGTGGCCAGCAGGTTGAGGGAGGTGATCCTGCCCCTCAACTCTGTGCTGTTGAGACCTTAGCTGAGGGTTTCTGTCCAGATGTGGAGTCCTCAGTACAGAGGGACATGGATCTGCTGGATTGTGTCCAGAGAAGGACCATAAAAATGATCCATGGAATTGAACGCAGGAGTTCAATTCCAAAAAAGGATCCATGGAATTTCCTACAAGGACAGGCTGAGAGAGCTGGAGCTGTTCAACCTGAAGAAGAGAAGGCTGTGAGGTGACCTGATAGCGGCCTTTTGGTATTTAAAGGGGAGCTTCAGGAAAGAAGGGGACAGACTCTCTAGCAGAGTCTGTGGCAATAGAAAAAGGGGAAATGGCTTCAAGCTCAGGGAGGTTAGATTTAGCTTAGGTGTAAGGAAAAAAATCTTTTACAGTTAGGGGGATGAGGCACTGGAATAGATTACCTGGTGGTTTGATTGATGCCCATTCCCTGGCAACTTTCAAGGTAAAGCTGGATCAGGCCCTGGGCAATCTGATCTGGCTGTGGTGTCCATGTTCATTGCAGAGGCATTGGACTGAATGGTCCTAAGATGTCCCTTCCAACTGTAAGGATTCTATGATGCACTAAGGGTACATTGTGTCTGACCAATCTGGTGGCCTTCTGTGATAATGTGATGGCAGTGGTTGATAAAGTGTCATGGTTTTGTGATTTTTGGCTTTCAGTATTCCACATCATAACATCATGTGGGGCACTGGCACTTTAACTGTCAATGCTCAAGTCCTGGGTACCTGCCCTGAAGAGAAGAAGAACTACATTCCCCAGGGGACTTTGCGGTCAGGGAGAGGAGATTTAACTCCTGGCAAGGCCACCTGATTTCCCTTTTCTCGCCTGCCCTTCGTCGTGGGCGCTGCTCCCGTCTCCCTGCTGCTCAACTGGACTGCGCATCTCACCTCAGCGTTGTGGTGAGGCCTTTCCACCTTTTCAGACATTCTCTCTCTCATTATATTTGATTTATTAGCTTCAATTCTGATTATATTGTATTATAGTGTGTTATCTTGCATTCCGATAATATATTTAGTAAATTAGTTTGCTTCTCCTCAGATTGTTGCCACTGTTTTTAATTATTTTGGGTCCCCTGTTTCTTTTTTTCCGGAGGCGCAGATCTGTGGATCCCTCCGCCCCGCTCGTCACGGAACCGGGCCGAACCAGCCCATAAACCGTTGACATAAAGGAAAGGCAATCCACGTAATCTACCTGGACTTCTGCGAAGCTTTTGATACAGTCCCATACCATATCCTCATTTCTAAATTGGAGAGATATAGACTTGGAGGCTGGACTATTTGGTGAAAAAAGAATTTGTTGGATGGTCACAGCCAGAGGGTTGTGGTCAGTGGCTCTATGTCTAGATGGAGGCTGGTCATGAGTCATGTCCCTCAGGGGCCAGTCTTGGGATTGGTGCTCTTCAACATCAATGGCCTAGATTGTAAAATCAAGTGCACCCTCAGCAAATTGACTGAGGAGACTAAGCTGAGTGGTGCAGTTGGTACAACAGAAAGAAGGGACACCATCCAGAGGGACCTAGACAGACTTGAAAAGAGGGCCCATGAGAACCTAAGTGCAACAAAGTCAAGTACAGGGTGCTGCAGTGGGGTCAGGGTAATCCCAGATATGTGTACAGATTGGGAGAAGAGCCCATTGAGAGCAGCCCTGCTGAGAAGGACACAAGCGTCCTGGTGGATGAAAAGCTGGACATGAGCCAGTAGTGTGTGCCTGCAGCCCAGAAAGCCAACAGTGCCCTGGGCTGCATCAAAAGAGGGGCAGCCAGCAGGACAATGGAGGTGATCGTCTCCCTCTACTCAGCTCTTGTGAGGACCCATCTGGAGTACTGCGTCCAAGCATGGTGTCCCTAGTAAAGGAGGGATGCAGAGCTGCTGGATCTCATATGAAGAAAGGGAGAGGGAGCTGGGCTTGTTTAGCTTGGAGAAGAGAAGGTTCTGGGGAAACCTCACTGCAGTTTTCTAGTAGATGAAGGGTGCTTGTGCGCAGGAAGAAGACTGACTTTTTACACACCCTGATAGTGATAGGACAAAGGGAAAAGAGCTTGAAACTAAAAGATGGGAGATTGAAGTTGGATGATAGATGTAAATTCCTTTCTTACTGGAACAGGCTGCCCAGAGAAGCTGTGGATGCCCCATTATTGAAAGCGTTCAGGGTTTGAGTGGATGGAGCCCTGATCTGGTAGGGGGCAACCTTGGCCACAGGAGGGGATTGAAGCCAGATGATGTTTAAGGTCTTCTTCAAGCCAAACGTGATCTCTAGCATCCCCAGTGCAGAAGGGCAGTGCTAATGGGCCTGACACCTGGTGGAGCAGTCTCCTGAGGCATGGCAGTCTTGTGCTGGGACAGTGGCTTCTGCTCCGTAGAAGTACAGCTGGGCAACCCATTCCCCAGCCCTACCAGTTCAGCCAAACATCAGTGTGTTCGTGGCCAATTAATTGCTTTCTGTTCCCACCAGGTAGGTTTAATCAAACTTTTTTTTACTTCTGTTGAGCTCAAAATTAAGATTTGTCTTAGCATATACAGAAAAGCTTTGCCTCCACAGAAAATGTTTTATTAGAAGCCACTGAGAACTGAGACATTATGCCCCTCTTGTTTCTACTGAATTATTACAGACAGGGATCAGTTACATAGAATTGAAAGCCCGCTCCCCCTCTTTGTACAAATATGTCAGCGATCCAGTTCATGCTGTTGGTTCTCACGCACTACCTGCCCAGCTGATTCAGCCCAAGATCTACCTGGTGATTATCAAGTTCTGCCATGCTGCTGATGGGTGCCTGAGCCCTTGATGTTCTAAAACCCCTGGGCACTCAGGACAGCAAAAATAGACTTTGCATGCACTTTAAACTGCTTTTACTGTCCACAAAAAGTCTTTGGACCTGACTGCCCAGATAATGCCACATGAAGAAATCCTTGATGTTTGGGTCTTAATTGCTGAGCAAGCTGAGTTAAGTAGACGCATATATGTTAGAGCAGCTCCTTCTGGTAGGTCTAATCTCTCAGTAAACCTGTCTTCAAATCATTAACCCTGCTGGGCTGCTCAAGGACTTGTTCAGCTGACGTACACTGTTTTCTCTGTCCCCTTATTTCAGTCTCCTTTACCCAGCTACTGGGCAAGTACTGTATGTCTACCTTTGTGTACTTAGCCACTTCCAGTAGTCCTATCATCTCCTTAAAAAGATTAGTCTGCGTAGGCCATATTTTCCAAGATGGAATTGCCTCTGTCCACACTTCCAGGTTGCAGAAAGCAGCAAGATTCCGTATATGTTTTGGCAGCTGATGGGATGCACTGGAATGGTACTGAGCTGTACTAGTGGCAGTTTAGGCTAGATAGTAGCTGATTTTTTTTCATTTTACTGTGCAATCAGATGTAGGAAGAACAGGTTTTATAGTAAGGTAGTTGAAATAGTAAAGTAGAAATAGCTTCTGTTCCTGTTTCCAGATTACAAATGCAGAAAAAGCTGTAAGATTCTTAGTTTGATCTTTTGCAGACTGTCACCTGTCACTTGGTATTCACAGTTAAAGATCAGAAAACAAACCTTTCATAACACCTGCCCCAGCAGCACAGGCTGTAATATCATTTTTGGATATTAAGAGAAATTTGACAGCAGTAATAAAAAACAAAAGATGGGAAGAAAGATGATTGTTTCCATTCTAAGTGCTTTGCTTGAAGTCTGGATGCTGAGCGTGATCCTTTTAAGCGAAGGCAGTGGTGACACTTTTCAGCAGTGTCTGATTCGTATCAGTTGTACTGGAGCAGAATGAAGTTTGTTCTGCTGCTGAGCCATCAAGAATGCTACAATACTAGGACGCTGCGAATACTGAAATATAAAATGATAAATTAGTGACCAGAGAAAGGGCCCTGTGCCAACGTCTGCAAAACTTTGCCATTTTCTCTGAACAAAATCAGGCTATCACTGTCAGCCAGGGTAGTCCTCCCCTCCCAGCCCTAGCTCTCGTAAAACGATAAAGTAGATATACAAAGCCTGCTGCAGATGCAAAGAGAGCGAAGTCCACCAAGCTAAATGCACTCAGTATCAAATGAGAAAAAAGAAGGGAGAGCAGAGCTGAAAGCCGCCACAGTGGGACCTTCAGCACTAGAATGGAAAGCATTTTCTTTCCCTTAGGAGTTCAAAACATAGACTGTCAACGTAGAGACACTTGCCACAATAAATCTTAAAAACTACCATCATGCTATGAGCATTCCCATTCACTTTTTGAGGCTATTTGTTTCTCTTTTGCTGATTAGAAATGGCATGCAAGGAAATAATTAGCTCTACTCTGACTCCTTTCTCAAGCAGGTTATGTTGATTTCTGGCATAGATGATGGGGCCTGGAAATTTTAGGTCAGGTAGGTCTTGGCTCTCACCTGCTAGAGTGTAGTGGGCCTAATGTACATGGACAGTGAGCAGATGCAGTCAGGAAAGGTGGTAATTCACTTTCTTGCAATGGTTTAAAAGCTAGTCCCAACTTTCTAATGACTTTGGCTAAATAACCATAGGTACATTGTAGGTACATTGTAGTGTGGTTCTTGCATACTCTATATGATATGTTGTCAACACTCAAGTGTTTTACCCCGTAACCACTGAAATGTTTCACTTCATAAATGACTGGGTTAATGTCTCTGTCTTCAGACTGACTGTCAGTACTTTAGCAAAGCAATGGTATCCCCATCCTCACCACTTCCCCTGCTTGTTACACTAAAAACTAAAATCAGTGCAATTAACAGTTACAACAGATATAAGGACAGTAAAAAAAAAGAAAAAAAAGTGGAGTTAAGTGCTGAATAGTTGGAACCTGAGAACAAATCTCAAAGAAAATATGAGGGGCAAAAATCTGCTACATGCTTTTTGTAATTAGAATGAGTAATGCCTAAAATGCTAGCAACTGGCAATGAAAAGGAAGTATAAATGCAGTTATCCAGACTGTAAATAACAGCTAGAACCTTCAAGAAGGGTAGCCTGAACACATATTAAAATATATAGATATATTTCTCACTTTTGCCAATGAGAATTTTCAATTTTTGCCATGGAGAATCTCATCAAACATCTCTGGCAAACGATATTCCCGATTTCAGTATCCTATAAAAACACTGAGCTGAACTCTCAAAATATTTGAAGAATGCCAAATTGTAAGTCAGCATGCACTAGTTCTGTATATACACAAACTACTTTCCCTTTTGAAAAGCTCCAAAGTGACTACCCAGTGAATTTAGGACTAATTGCACTGGGACTCTGTTCCCTAATTCACTGTATGAATGGTAAGTCGCTCTTCCAGTAAACAGGTTATTCCTATATTCCTATTTGTCATCCTAAAACACTTCCTGAGATGTGATAGACCTAGCTTCCATGTTCTTCTAGGTTGATGTTTTCAGTTTCCCTGCGTGCTCTTTTCCAATGGGCGCTGACTTGCTGTTCTGTGAGAGCTTTTCTCCCGCTGCCACAAGGACTCTTTGCTCAAATCAGACAGGAAGCAGAATCTAAAAATTCTGCTGGAAAGAAATAAAGCACCCAATACATTTCAAAATCTAAAACTTTGCTACCTTTTGTTACTACAGCAGCTGTTCGTGTACACATACTATTCTGGCCAAGAGTAATGGGCATTGTGGATTGCTTTCATCATTCTCTGTCACAAAGTCAGTCACGCTCTGTCTCACTGTGCAGTTCTTACAGTTAAGATTCTTGAAGTTAAAATTTAGCAGTGTTTACCTCTTCCCTGTCCTTAGCAGATCAAATCCTTCATTAATTTTAGCGAGAGGAAGAGTGTGGGTTATTAATGGATCCAAAACAAACTTTTTCTTCATGTAATCAGCAACCAGTTTGGGCACTGCATCTTTACTCTTCCAACCTGAAAGAAAACCACAGACAATGGATAATGAACCATTAAACGCTACTCAAAATAGATAAAACTTACAGGGGCTTAAATTCTTAGATAAACTTTCTACAGCAGAATAGCATGATGAAATACTGCAGTACAACTTGACCTTTGTAATACAGACTGCCAAGAGGAAGTGCTGTACTAAGTGTAGCTAGTCCACAGTGGAGTGGAGTGTGTATGACCAACACATACACACCAAGCAAATAAATACTGTACTGGTACAAGTCTACGTTTCTGACATTTGAGTCTTAAAAGATAAAGACACCCCCCACACTCTCCTTGTATGGGAACTGCTGAATTACAGCCTGAACCTCTGATTGACCACCTGAGGCCATGAGTCAGCCACAGGAGCACAGGTGAAGGCAATTCACCTATGCTGCCGGAAGGGCTGGAGCCAGACTCCACCTCTCCTAGTTCCCATTTAAGAGCTGGCTGCCAGGGGGGAAGGATCTCTTCCTAGAGATTACTTCCTGTGGAGAATATTGTGAGCCTAGAACATTGGTAAGCATTTTCCACTTATTATTTTCCTGTTGTAATAATCTTACTTAGCCTAACTTTCCTGTACATTTCTTAATGATAACATCTGTATATTTGTTGATTGTACGTGCCTTAGTACTGTTTCATCCTGTTTATTGATGCCTCATTCCCTAAATCACACACAAAAAAACTACAGCGCTGATATTTCTGTTGGTGACTAGAAACTTAATAGGAACAAAATAGGGCAGCAGGAGGGATTGCCTGTTTTTTCTAGGCTTTATCTGGCACTGCTTCTATCCATTATAACAGGATCCTCTCTCAGAATAACCTAATTTGTCTTTTGCTCTTTTAGTCAGGTGTCTATTGAATGCATCAGAGGAACGGGTTGCAAAAGAGAAAACCCGCTCTTGTAATAAGCTTCCTCTGTCTTCTAGTTCTTTTAGTTTTGTTTTCACTGAGTGTGAAAATCCTCTGGAAAAGCTCAGAAAAGAGAGCAATTGTGAGTGATGGCAGCTTGCTGGGGCTTAACCTGGTAAGCAGGTTGGTCTGATCTGAATGTTCTTTGCAGTTCCCGACTCTCTTTGATCCCTGTTCTTCCTTCTCTTTTTCTCTTCATTTGTCTTTTCTGCTCTTACCTCTTTCTTGCCCAGCCTTTCTTAATAACTTCCACTTTTGCGCTTTTCTGTCTTTCATTTTCTTTTCCCCCCCCACTTTCTTTTCCCTTTCTCTTCTTTTCTCCTTCCTTTCTTCATTCTTCCCATCTTTTTTTCCTTCCTTTTATGCTATTTTTCTCCCTTTGTCCTTAGCCCACATCTTTCTTCTTCTCACTCCTTTTTTCTTATCCATTTTATCTACTCCTTCTACATGCACCAGTCTGTTTTCCATCCTTCTGGGCCCTCTCCTCTCTGCCTTTTTTTGTTTTTCCTTCACTCTCTTCTCTTTTTTTTCTTTTTTCTCTTAATGTTGACATTTTTGTGCCTCTCATTCCCGTCTTTCTCTCTGTTTTTCTCTCTCTCCTCTGCTCTTCAGTAACCATTTGATAGTAGTTCCTTCAGGGATTCTTTGTGCTACTTTATTAGCATATTAGTTATCAGTAGTATGTCCAGCTATCAATAATCCACTCCCTTTGATTCAAGTTAATAAACAAGTTTCACAAGCCAAGTCATCTTTCCAAGTCCTCACCTCCAAAGACGGATCCTTTCCAGGTGCGACCACTGAAGAGAAGCATGGGGTCAAAACTAATCTTTTGTGCTGCAGGGGGCACTCCCACAATCACGCTGACTCCATAGTTGTTGTGGCAAGAGGCCAAGGCTTCAGTCTGCATTTAAAACAGAGGGACATGCCAGTGTCATGCAAGTCTTGCCTTCAGGGCTCAAAACCTTGATTCCTTCTCTCAGGGATCAGCTTGCGTTTCCAAAACTGTCTCAGTAGCTAACACCATTTTATCCACTCATATTTTAGCTTGTTCTATTTTCCCATTTTGTCTTATTAGTGATAAGACACTGCTGGATAGACAATGTTGAGTTTAGTTACATGTGTAAAAATGAGTCACCCTGCTTGGATTCCTTTCCTATTAGAATTTACATTTAAGATCCTTTTCTTAAGTTTTTGAGTATGCTTCTGTCCCTGCATCTTGCTGGCTGATAGCCAGGCTTAACAGGCTTCGAGTTAGCTTAGCACTTTACTGGCAGCTCTCTGCTCCTCACTACTGGTGCTTAGTGGGTTAGAGAAAAGTCAGCTAATGAGTTAATGCCTCTTTTGACCACATCTTTTGTTTGCATACCATGGTCTCAATACGGCCGATGACCTCAAAGGAGTAGTCCACACCCTCACCAGTCATTTCTGTCAGCACTTCATGAATAGGCTTCTTGAAGTCTTTAGGGTTGATGCACTCAGTGGCTCCCAGCTCCTTGGCCTTGGCAAACTTGTCCTTGTTGATATCGATGGCAATGATGCGGGACGCTCCAGCTGCCTTGCAGCCCATGACAACAGAGAGGCCAACTCCTCCGAGGCCAAAGACAGCACAGGTGGAGCCTGGTTCTACCTATATTAACAGGGCATCCTGTTACAGTCCATGTAAAGACATTGCATTTTCTTACTTTCAATATATTCTCACCTAATCTACTTCTTGTATATTAGATCACCTGTTGAGAAGACATTTGCTAATGCATATGTACTAGTGCAGTAGCCAGCTACACTGATATAATCCTACATGCAACTAAGATAAATTATCCCTAGAATACATTTCTAAGACTGGATCTTCATTACTGCATTCGGCTTCAAGTTTATAGACAGATTATTTTTATGCTGCTCTATATTTCAATGGCATTAAGATCCGTAGTGTCACTCCACTGGAAATAGTGAAAACTCACAGCTGTAAAAAGCCACATCTATGTACTGCTACAGATTCTTTGAATATACTATGTAAAGTCTCAGAATAGAAGAAGCCTGAAGTTACAATAACATATGTTGTCTCTGTCATAACATTTTTTGAGGTCTGAGAAAGCTAGAGGTCTGGAAGAAAACTTAGCAAACTGCAATGAGGTTTTTTTATTGGATTTTCTATTGAAGACTTCTAAATACCTTAGAGGAACTGAGGAAGGCAAAGAACTAATATCATCTTTCTACCCTGAACACAGCAAAAAGAACATATGCCTGCTGGCTGCCATGCTGATACCTTGCTTACAGGCCACACAATTCTGAACAGAGCAGAAACACCTACAGTGTTTACCTGGGCAGTCTGCAGAGCAGCCCCATAACCAGTTGAAAATCCACAGCCAATCAGACAAACTTTTTCCAAAGGAGCCGCAGAATCAATTTTGGCTGCAGCAGTTTCATGTACTACTGTATATTCAGTGAACGTACTTGTACTAATAAAATGATGAATTGCTTTCCCTTTACAGGTAAACCTAGTGGTGCCATCAGCCATTCTTCCAGTAGGTGAAGCAGAAGAAAGGCTGTTTGAAAAATAACCAGACATAATGGTAAATGAGATCTATCATATATGGTCAGTCTTGTGTAAGTTAAAATCAAATAGGAGTTGCAAGTAATCTAGGAAACTCACTCATTTTTACTGCACAGATTGCCCTTGGTGCTTAAGCAAGATTTGCACTCCCCACACTGTGGAACAAAGAGTGGAATAACTGCGTCTCCTAGGAAGAAAACAGTAATGATTAAACAAACAGATACAAGAAGCGTTCAGGTAAAAACATAAAACAAGTACTTTTAATTCCTAAAAAAAAAATGTGCAGTAGGAGTGCAGTGCTGAACTTACTTCCTTCCACTGCCTCCCTCTGACATAGTAGACATCATTAATGGACTTCTGACAACAGCTTTCAACATACAAAATCCTGGGTGTCTTTCACAGAAGTGAAACTGAGCTATGCCTTAAATCATCAAAGCTACTGCCATTCACAAAGTATTCATTCAGCAGTTTTTCGCATCTGCTACTTACTAATGCACAGGTGAGGAAACTGAGATAAAAACTGACATCTTCTAGGACAGGAGGTTGGCATGTTAAGATAAGAGAACTGTAAACTGTTTGTAGAAATAGGAAATAAGTTAAGCATTAATTTGCTCGCTCTCCTGAATCGTCATCTTATTTAAAGTAATTATCAGAGAAGCAGCAATGCATGCAAGGTAAGGCATCTCTAATTCTTTAGTACAATGATGCCAATTAACAAAGTAACCTGTGTTCTCAGTGCAATCTTTTACCATTTCCCACAGCAACAAAGTATGATAAATCCCTAAATTGATAATCTCTGCTGCAGGTCAATTTGTGATTTGACAGTTCTGATATGTGGCCGATACTTCACATGTTCAAAGTCAGTTTGATTTCCACTAAGTGGTGGAAAGTGACCTACAGAACACAAAATGCATATACATGCACAACATCCAGGCTTAGAAATCATTCTGCTAAATGAACTTTGCAGGTCTTGGAGCTTTTTCCCCCCCATCTCCCTCAGAACTCAGAGGTAGGTGGGGGTGGTGTGTGTATGCACAAGCCTGTGCTGCTTGTTTCAGCTCACCTGGAAACATACATAACAGAGTGATGCATCAAGTTCTGGAACCAAAACTTATGAGAAAAAGCAGCTAGGGCTATAATTGAAATTTAAAATATACATTTTTGTTGAAGCAGAGATCTCTAATACAACTTATTATGTATACTGACCTGCTTTGAATAGACTTCATACTTCTGACCAGTAAAAACAAAGACTTGAAGTACAGAGGTGTTAAAAGTGAATTACATAGATAGTCCTCTGCAATGCAAGTATTCACACATAAGAGGCTTCAACTTAAACAGGAGCCTGAAAACTCAGCACAGATTTTGTGTTCAGTTCTGTTTCATACCTGGCTTTAATGAAGTTACTTTCTCCCCAACACTTTCTACAATGCCAGCTGCCTCGTGCCCAAGGATGATTGGAAAAGGCATAGTCAGTGCACCAGTCACCACATGGTCATCAGAGCGACAGATCCCCGTGGCTACAATCTGGTTTAGAAGAAGGATGAGAATGCTTCAGCAATTCACTACGTCACGTCGTGTGTGTACGTTATGTCATATGTTTGGAGCAGTCCCTTGCTTCTCTGTGTACATATGCACACAATAAAACTAAGGGTAAAAAGATTTTTTTAACTCCTAATCTTCATTGTTTGCATGTCTCTAATTTACAAAGCAAGACTCCTCAGTGAGTGCTTGCTGTGCCAGCCCTTCCCATCGGGAGTCCCACTGATTGCTGGGCAGAACAACAGGTGAAGAACAGAATAGAATCAATTCTTATTTTTATATTTACACAGATATAAAATCTCAGTACTATATAAATAGAAAAGTATTGAATTAAATAACATTTCTATATAAATATTTCTCTTGTAATTTAAATCAATTTTAAAATGTTAAAATTTTTATTATGCTGTAGTACAATATTACTTGTAATTACATATGATATATGATCACTTATAATATTTTTATACATGTATACATTACACATGTAAAAAAATACATAAAATTTCAGCCATACATAACATTCAATAGCACATTTTGTGTTTTCTTGCATTCAGCAGTTGTATTTGTTTTGAAAGTTTTAAATATGCCTTAACAACTTTTATTCTGACAAGTGCAGTTGTTGACCCCACGTAGGGGTTCTCCTCACACATACAACACTTAAAACTGCTCTAAAGCAACAGTATGAAGTATAACAGATACTCAACACCCAGATCAAAAAGGAATCACCCAGTGCTATTTCCCAGCACGTATCCAAAAGCAAGGCAGAAAAGTTCAAAACAAACAAAAAAAACCTTCTTAAAAAAAGGCATGATTAGATTTATGACTTGCAACATATTGCAGAGGAGCTCACTGAATGGCAACTATTTACCTACTGAATACTTTTCAAGACCACATCCTATGAGTCTACAGAAATAATTGGCTAAGCAACATTAAATGCAATTCATAACACTTCTATTAAAAAACACTTTAAATACCTTAATACGAACTTCATGTGCTTTTGGTGGGGCAACTTCCACTTCCTCAAGAGAAAATGGTTTATTCGCTTCCCACAATACTGCTGCCTTGCATTTAATAACCTGAAAAAAGAGCAAAGAAAAGGGAGAGGCCCTTGCAATGAAAATGTCAACACAATAAGATTCTTAACACCTGTACATGCAGAATTTCAATTCATTTCTGGGGAAGGGTGAAAACTAGGAAACAAATTAAAAATACAACAGTCAGGGTTTTTTTGCCACCAAGATCATGTCTGACTTTGTTCATATCTCTGTCCCCATTATTTGTTCCTGCTCCTTTTTGGTGGGGTCTTCTCATCACAGAACTTTGCACAGCTAAAGGCCATGGAATAAGATTTTTCCACATTTCCCTTAAGATGTACAAACTGCAAGTGCTCAGGTGCTATTATCTTAAGAGCAAAACAGAAGAGAATTAAGTCTATGACTCCAGAAGTTCAGCATGTACCTAAGTATCCTGTGTGACTTGGGACCCTGCCATGCAGTGCGACACCGTGTTGCACGCTTCTGGGGAAAAAACGATAAAAAGCTTTGATATGAAAAGTTAGCTAAGTAAAAACAGGCATGTCTAGCAACAAAATGCGAACTGGTAATGAGGAAAGCAAGTACTAAGAATTAACAGACCTGCAGTGTAAAATAGTGCACTTTCAGTAGCCAGATGTAAAGTGGGAAAGAGCAAGAGCTTTGAAAAAGAGGCATGAGAGGTCTGCACTAAACCCAATGCTTCCAGTAAAAAAAAAATAATTACAAGTGAAGCAAGATCACATTTTAAAGGGCAACGTTTTCAAGGAAACTTCCCCAAAAAGAGAAAAAGGACTTTATTGCACATCGCTCACTAACGAATTCACAATTTGCAAACACAAAGCCTGTGCAATGTTTGTAAGAGCAAAGATAGCCAATAACTGTGGATCTCTAAGAGCAAATGAATCTCTCATACAGTTGGACATTGGTTAATTAGGCTGTGTTCTGATGGCTGACTGTGAGCTTTTATCGGCTGTAACAGAATTCCCCAGATGAGCCAACAGCACACTTGATCTATATGACAAGCACTAACTGGAGTCACAGCATATTTTTTTTCTACTCGTGTTTTCTACCTTGACCTTAAAAATCATGACAGCAGAAGAAAAGCAAGCTGTAGAAACAGACCCTTTTAGAGAGGAGGATTATGTAACATGGTCACATAAACTGCAAGGTAACTTGCATACTGCCTCAAAGAAAAATACACTGAAAACAAAGTGTGGTAACTCCACCACAACGCCCTATCATGCTCAGGCAAAGGCTGAACAGAGAACTGAACTTGGTGAATCTACCTCTGCTTGATGGTCTTAACATATGCATAATTACACCCTAAAATTTAACACAACGTTTTCTAAAGATGACAAACCGTTAATAAACTTACACGAAATGTAAAAAAGCTAGAAAAAGTTCGAATCAGCCCGAGATCTCAGAAGGGAAAGTGATGCAGCTGATAAATACATTTATTTGTCTGAATACTTACTACATTATATTATATATAATATATAATCGGAACTTGAAATTAGCTTTGTTCTTACTCTAATGTCATTAGCTTATGTTGCCTCAGTATTTAAATAAATTGAAATTATTGCCTTGAAGAGCCAGCAGCCATTTGCTAGGAGAGCACAGTGGTCTGCAAGGAAAAGCAGCTCTACTGCACCAGCTTTCTCCTAAATTATCATTTATAGCACCCCATCAGAATTTATGGTGTCCTTGCAAAGAAACTACATTTAAAATACATTTCTCAGCTGCAGCAAAGAAACTTTTCCTAAAAAAAACACCCCGCTTACTTTGCCCGCTGTGCTCATGTTGGCTGGCACGTCTGTTTTGAATCTTGCTCCCACAGGTGCTGATTCAAGCTGCTGATAGCACAGTCCTGTCCAATGCCCTAGAAGCTGGTCTTACAAAGTGCTTCTGTAAGCGCTCAGCTCTAGCATTTAGCCAAGCTGCTGAGCTCGGAGTCCCACCCCCTACATCTAATGTGCCAGCAAGAAAGCAAACCACCCATCTGCTGAGATCTTTACAGCTTATTGTTTTCACAGACCCTTTGTCACACTCATCGCACCCTTTTCATAGCCTCAGCATCATGGAAAGAAGGCACAAGCCCTGCCTGGAAGCTCGTCCCTCTTCCCTCCTCTCTGGGAAGCTGCCTTCCAAATCTACAGCCCTCAGGGGCACTGTGGGAGCAAGGAGAAGGGGCGAGCAGCTCCTGAACTCAAAATGGCAATGTCATGGCAACACAAAGTCTTTGCTGAATTATATTGTTAACGCTCCTTAGAGCTCAGCTGATGCATCAAGACACATTATTTGCAAGCTGCTTAAGAAACATATGCTGTCAATCTGTGGCTCTATCTGCTCCTCTGACTCCTTGATTTTTACAATCTGGGTACTCATTGATCTGTTGGAACGGCTTTCAGTGAACAGTGACCAAAGACTACATGCTTAGTCATGCTGACTGGAAAACAAAATAAGAGAGAGGGCACGTGCTTTTTCTTAACACGTGCAACAGCCTGCTGGATTTGCAAATGATTGCCCGACCTGTTGGATCCGACAATATCAGCAAGTTCAGGCCCCACCACTCCTCACACACCCACACACTCACCCTCTCTGGATGCAGTGCCCTGGTGTGAGGGGTTGTATTGCCAACTGATCACGAGCAGAGATCACAAGTGAAGGTGCAGGTGTGGTAGGGTATGCTGAAGGTCATCATGCTCCTCTGCAAACTCATTGGGACAGATTAAGTTCCAGACTCCTGTAACCTCAGGTGAATCTTCAGAGACAGCAGGAAGTTCCAGCAGCCTCAGAGGTGTACCTCCAGCCTGCTAGGGATGCAAGCCCTGTTTGGTCCAGGTTAGAGGAGCAGAGATCACGAATCCCTGCTATTTAAAAGACCCATGGAGCAAAAAGAAAGGGGTGACTTAAGGCTTTCTATGGAAAGAGGCTAACAGGATCCAGAGGTGGTGACCTGACTCACCTCTGGGGCACAGCAGACATCAGGGAACTGATCCATAGTCTACTCTCCTCTTCTGAAACTAATCTCCTCCTTCTACCTCCAGGACCTTTATAGCATGATACAGCAGTGGTCGTGATTCATCGATTGATCTTGAAAATACAGAACTACAGGCAACACAGAAATTTCAGCTGCTTTCAGTAAAGATCATAGGCAATCTAATTGCATAAATATATTTTGATTTATGATAATTCTACTGATCAGCTATTACTGCCTGTAGTATAGCAGATACTGCATGATATGCTGAGATGCTTTGTGAACTGTATGATCTTCGTGGCATGTCTAAGGCAGAGGACTCACAGATAAGCCCCCCATTGGTGAAGCTCATAGATGGACACTAACTGGGCCATTACATCAATGGAAGTAACAAATGCTTTCTTCTGTGTACTGCTTACAGTAATACACTGACAACTCCCTACCACGACATCCAGATTATGCAGCTAGTCTTGATGTCCGAATTTTCTGTTATACCAAATGGGCCAGCTTAGCTTGTGCTCTCTCATTAAGTTGCTTGAATGTGGGCTTCTAACCACCTCGGTCTGAGCCCCTTTCCCCACCAGCCAGAGACCTCATGCTGCAACTTTGACACATTGGCTGGAAAAGACCTTGTATACAGATGGACAACCTCAAAACCCTAAAAGAGCTCATTTCTCTCCCAGCAAGAAGAGAATCTGCTCTCCAAGTTGCTATACATCCCATACAATCATACATTTCTAAGAGTGAAGTGACAGCTAAAAAGCTCAAAGTAGACTGCTGAGAACCTCTAGGAAAATGTAAGTGATACCACTCGTCTCAGATGTTGCCTTGTTCTGTCAAGTTTAGAATTTGTGAGGTGTGGTGCTATTAAAAAATTGGTAGCTTAACACAAAATGTCAACACAAAAATCACATGTACAAAGAAGCTTCTGAATTCTGCCCTAACGCCTTCAAGGCAGAATATATTCTGTGCACTCTGTTTGGAAATACACCCAAAACACCACGGTATTCATTCCTATCATGTGCAAACTTCTTTCACAATGCCTAAGGAGGCAAGACCCAGTGACTTATACTTCCTAGAAAAACCTAAAAATAAAAAAAAAAAATCACAGAATGGCCAGGGTTGGAAGGTATGTCAAGGATCATGAAGCTCCAACCCCACCACCACATGCAGGGCCACCAACCTCTACATTTAATACTAGACCAGGCTGCCCAGGGCCCATCCAACCTGGCGTTGAACAGCTCCAGGGATGAGGCATCCACAGTCTCTATGGGCAGCCCATCCCAGCACCTCACCACTCTCATAGTAAAGAACTTGAATTTCTAGTCCAGTCTATTCCTTGACAGTTATAGTTTTCCTTTCTTCCCTTCTTCCAAAGTTCCCATCTATTTTTCCTTGTCAGTTTATCCACTGATCCCTTTGTTTCCTTTCCTTTTCCTTCCCTTAAAACTCTCCCTATCTTTACCTTTTGGCACACTGACTTCTTGGAAAGGTTTCTCAGGGAATGGAATGGAAGCTGTGATTTATCTCCCTTCGCCAGACTGAGTGCATCCAGTCTGCAGGCAGAAATGGTCTTCAGGAAGAAGGTGGTAAGAAAAAGGACCGCATATGGAGCCAGTGAAACAAGGGCTGACATGCATAAGAATGCTGCACAAGTTACTTTATCTGTGTTGTTCTGTCAGATTGCTTGAGATGCTAGGGGCAGGACATGGGTCAAAGTCCTGGCATGCAGGGAAGCTGCAGTGCCTCCACTTTTTGGCTTACTCTCACAGGCCCTCAGGCTCAACGCTCTGTGCTTTGATACCTGACACAAAACATGCAACTGGCCCCAGATTCTATCCTGTCCCATTTTAGGGCAGTTCACTATGAAAGTATTTCTTCTTTAAGCTGATCTATCAAATCTTTTCCTTCTTATGCAATTAAACATAGTAAGTAATCACTTTATCAGCCTTTTATCTAATTCTGTCCATCTGAACATGTGGCACTAATACTGCCTCTCCACTGCTTCTCTGTCCAATCTAATAAGGCTCAGCAGATCCTCGTGAAGTGTAGAAACAGCTAAAGAGAAAGAAAAAACAACCATGCAAAAACTATGCCAGATTTGCTAGTGGCTATTGAGCTTGTAGACACAAGAATTCAAGGGCAGCCTCTTTTCTACATGGGGCTTACAACAAAGCAAATGATAAAAGACTCTATGGGGCTTCAGGATCAGAAACGAGCACCTGCATGGGCTGCTTCTTAGCTAGGTTTTGCTATCAGTTGCCTTCTTTTCTTGAAGAGATTTAAGAGCAGCATCTTAGCTGCTTAGCCTGTACATTACCCAAATATTTATTAAAATGATTAACACAACAGTTGCACCAGGAACTCTCCTTTTTCCCTCCCAAATGTAAACAAACTACAAACCTGTTTTCTTTCATCTTTTGCTTTTCTGCCTCTGAAGCTGTGACACACTCACAGAATATCCTGTGATTTAGTGTCTACATAACAGTGTCTAACATAACAGACCAGAAAACTGTTCAAGAATTGTAAACTCAAGTTAGCAGTTATCTGATTTTTGTCACTGAGACAGACAACCAGGGTAATAAACAGTAAACACTTCATGATGTGTCTTCTCCCATCTTAAATTTCCTTTCTGTTACTAGATGCAAATGCCAATCCCATGCTACATTTAAGAGCCTTACTGATCAATGCTAGAAGACTTTTTCACACTCACTCACCCGATCAATCCAACAAACTCAAGTTTGTGACACCAATTTCATATGCTGCAAATGAACAGACCAACTATGTAGCTTTGCACTTGTACTCCAGAAAATTTCCCAAAACTCCTGAAAAATCCCTCAAATCTCATTGGAAAGCGTGAATTTTCTTGAACAGCCAAGTAATTTTACAGTCCTGTAGGTCACCATTTCTTCAGTGTCCACACAGAAACTTTAATTCTCTACAGAAACTAAAATTCCTCTCATGTTAAAGAAAAAGAGTGGTAAAATCAAAAAGGAGGAACTGGCAGCACACAACTATTTCTCTTGGCTAATGAGAGACAAATATGAGGCTGCATTGCTTCCATAGTAGCGTGTGCAGCTCAGATGTGTCACAAAGAACAGGAAGGATTCCATGGTCTCCAACCCTCAGCACTCCCCTGCCTGCTTGTGGGCTGCTCAGCACAACAAGCCAGGCTGCAGCCTCCTCAGCTGCAAAGCCCTACCCCAGGAGCGCTGCTACCTACTGAGAGAAGTTAACTTGCTGTAGCTGGATGGAAGGAACTGCCAACCTGGCATCCTGGTGAGGAGGCCCTCTGCAGCACTGCTTCTCAGGTAATTTGATCTTTCCGTGCTTTACAACACCGCAACTTCTTCCGTGCCCTCCAGGGAAAAGTTGAGAGCTGGCAATATAACAATCATCAGGTGAAATTACATTGTCTCTCACGAGCCCATTAAGGGAGTCAAATATAAGACTGCTCTAAATGACTACTGTATGCACCTTCTCAAAGGAGTGTTTTTTGAACACAGCAATGATAATCCACATTTTGGCTATGATTTTATTCTGATAACAACAGTGCTAGCTAGTACCACTTAACTTTACTAATTTAAATATTAACAGAGTATTGTGACAAAGTAACACATCTAAATTCCCCAGAACATATTGTACCAGCAATAACATTATGTAACACTTTGAGGTTTTTAAACTTTGGCAAGATTTTAAACTTTAGTTAGACATCCTTTATAGGTAGAAAACATAAAAACATAAGTAGTGTATGCAGAAAATCAAAAGACCCAGGAAGAGAAAGTATCTTCCACTCCTATAACTAAATTTATAGACTATTTTTAGTAAGCATTTAATCTGAAGCTTATGGACAGTATGCATTATGGTAAAAACACGTAATTCAAAATAAATACAAAAAGGCTTTGGAAAAGCCAGTCTCTCCATTTATTTTTCTTTAAATCAAAATTATAAATGCTTGCTAAGAAAAACAAATGCAATCAGATGTAATACAAATCAGCAGTTCTCATTATTCCAATGAGTCAGTCAATGCACTACAACCAACACCATAAATTTTGTGTATTTTACTTTTTATGTCAGGAGATATAGGTATCTCTCATTTGTATGATGTGCTCTGCATCCCATCTACATAAAGATGTACCTAAAAATAAGAAGCACTTCTATAGGGTTACACTATCTTAAAAAAAAATTCTTATCAACTTCTCTGCTGATATATTTTGGTATTTATGTTTAGAGTAGATGAAACCTAAGCTAGACTGCAGTGCTAATAAAGATATAAGAGTTTCATGGCACAGAGGCATTTTTTTTTGCACCCTTGAAAGCAGCCTTTGGACAGACAGATGCCTGACAGTCAATAATCCCGATAAGATGTTTTGCTCAGCAATCATTTAAGATAGAAATTAGACCAAATGGACGGCGTGTTCTTTACTGAAATCACAGCAAGATAGCAACTCTGAAAGATAATGCCTCACATTTGAGCAGATCAGGCAAGCTTCAGCTAACCAGTGTTCACTGGTGTTGCTTGTTGCTTATAATTCATATCCTTGAAGGCAAGACAATTTCCTTTCTTGCAGGAGAAAAGTCAGAAGTCAATTTTCTTTCATCTTTCTGTGTTGGCCAGTTAAATATTGGTAAATGCAGTGGTAAAAACAAAATAAAGTTCAATATGCTATACAATTCAGAGACAAAACACTTTGGAAAAGTACATAAATCATTACATTCATTCTATTGCAGGGAATTCAACTGGAACTTTGAACTCTCTATGATGATTGATCCATTATGCTATATCTTTTCTGCAATCCATCACCTTTTATACACCAAAACTAAAATTTTTCATTTAAATACTTTTACAATAGTAGAGAATAACACAAATCCATCAAATACTTACCCATTGCTACAGAAGACAGTGTTAACTAGCAAGAACTGCTTCAAATCTTGTTTCACAGCTGAAATGCAGCTTTCTGCTTTGAAATTAGTATTCATGTTTATTGTTTTCTCCTAAATAAAACACTGACTTCTGATTTCATTCCATACAAATTTAGAACAAGCCAGCAGAGCTCCAGTAGTAGAAAACGTGAGGTAGTGAGGTAAAAATTGACTTCAATCAATCAATTTATGAATAGTTAAGTATCAAAATGATTAGAAAAAATTGAGTGCACTCTGACTGGTATCAAAGAGCATGAGAAGCACTGAGTACATTTCTTACAGCCACCATGAAATCAAGTTATCTGACAGACTGCTTGGTATTTTTGATCAGGAATAGTTTGTGCAAGGCAGTGGTCTGCAGGAATAACAGCAGGGAACTTGCAGCATACCAGTATTGCTGTATGTGATCAAAATGGCAACTAAATGGTGCTGCAAACCATATGTAACTGAGTACATAGGCTTTAATCACTTACTTCTTTCTGTCTTTGCTTCGTTGTTTTCAGCTTTTGTTAATAAGTCATGTTATTTCCTCAAGTATTCCACGTGCCCCCAAGTACATATGAAAAAGAAAAAAGACTGCCATTAGCTTTAAAAAAAAAAAAAAAATCTGTGAAATGCCAGTTCCACCCTACCACCACATGCCCTGAAATGTAATCATCACATGGGACATGACCTTTCCTCGGTTGTCTGAGAGGGCATACAACGACCTTAACCCATGAACTTCAGCTCTGGGATTTACACGTTTTGTTTTCATATGGGGCAACCTCACGTCTCATGGCCTTCTGCACATATTGTGAAATCCCTCAGTCTACTCAATTTGTTTTTTCCTAAGTCAGATGTAGTCATGGAGTAAAAATGTAACTGTGCAAAACATAACAGTTGCTCGAAAAAATGTCTTCATCCTTTTCCAATCCTCTTTTCTCCATATATTCCTTAAAATAAGAGCAGCAACCACACACTGCTTCCTTACCCTAATGGATAACTGATGAATGCTTATTCTGCTCTTGTGGCTGAGCAGCCGCTAAAGTTTTATTTTCCATTTTTTATTAACTTGATTCTGAGTCATCACAAGGTACCTTAAATACAACACCATTCTTTGGATGTTCTTAAGATGCTATAGTAGGAGATACTCTAACCAAGGTGTCACAGAATCACAGAATCGTAGGGGTTGGAAGGGACCTCCAGAGATCATCGAGTCCAACCCCCCTGCCAAAGCAGGTTCCCTACAGCAGGTCGCACAGGTAGGCATCCAGGCAGGTCTTGAACATCTCCAGAGAAGGAGACTCCACCACCTCCCTGAGCAGCCTGTTCCAGTGAAGGAGCTATACGTACTATATGGAAGGAAAAAATAAAGGGAACAGTAAAAACAGCTAAACTTCAACTTCTAAACCCAAAATCTAGAAGCAGACACCAAATATTTAGAGAAATAAGACTTCCTCTCTGCATACACCGCCTTTAGAAATCAAGGCCTCAGCATTTCTTTCGCTGTCATTTCTTGTCCCTTCACTTCCCAAGCCAGAAAGCCATCTACTCCTTCAATATACTTTGTTACTACAAAAAGGAGTGTCACTCCGCGTGTCAATGTGCAGCTGAGCTCTTGAGCAGAAACAGCGAGGCAACAGAAGCAGTTGCAAAGCAACCACAGGCAGTATTAGTTGTCAAGGCTAACTACTTAGCCACAGAGCAGTAGGTAGCTTGCTTCCAGACTCCTGTGCTTATGGCTTCTCCAAAATGCACGTGGAAGAGGTAAAATAACAGTGAAATATTTAACAGAAAAGCAATAATTGAAGCTTCCTCTACTTTTATATGTCAATTCCTGTTCTTCACTTCCAGCATTCGGTCTCATTTGGAGAGCCTAAGAGCCAACCCGCTCGACAGTAAGACACTGCAAGAGAATAGGAAAGCTTACACAATGAATACCTGTCAGCATTGTTCTCGCTCCAGGAGCTCATGGGTAACATACTCCTCTAGGAACGTTCCCCACCCTCGGATGCTCTGCCACATACAAGGTAAGAGTTGTACAGAGATCACATGGCAGCCCCAGAAGACTGCCCTAGCAAGCACAGAGAGAAACGTGAGCATAACATAACTTTGTTCCAAAAAAGCACCCAGTGCTCCTATTTCATGGGTCTAAAATAAGCATTTAATCAGCATTCACAGCTCAGTAAGAAATCTCGCTACTGGAAATGATTAGTCATGGCCCCTTGGGGACAATATGGGTGAGCAGCATCCCTACCATGACAGCAGTGTCACCTGCATAGTAGCATAGCGTTCATTACATAGAAAGGGGTGAAGAACAGCTTACTCAAAAGTAAACATTGAAAAAAATCTCTTAAAATCCTCTGCACTACAAATTTGTTGCTCATAACCTTAAAATGTGCCCTGAACACTCTCCTCTATGCACACGCAAACTTATTGCCCCCGCTTTATTCCACTGGTGTCTTTACCTTTTCTCAGCAATGAATAATCAGTGTTAAAGTTAGGACTTTCTATACACTCTACCACTAAAACTATTTCACCAAGACAGCTGAGGTTTCATTTAAGCTAGAACAACTTCTCTTTCCTTCTGTGCTCGCAAGTGTACCTCAAATGCCAAAGACTCTACTTACAGAGACATGTTCTCACTTGCTTTTTTTTTAAATTCCTTCACTCTCACCTATATCATTCTGATATTTTCCAGGAAAAACATATTGTGTAACACAGTATTTCATACTAATCTTTTGCTCTGATAATGCTGTGCTATTTTACTGCACACTAGATGACTGTTATTACTGTAATTACTGTTCCTACTGCTGAAAGGAATAGAGTCAGAAATCAGCATACCATCCACATCAGCAAAACAAATAGTTCTTCTTGGGATGGGCTTCTGTTTCTGAAGTTGAGCCTGTGCATTTGTACAAAGACATCTTTTTGCCAGTGGCTGAAAGAAAACTGTTGATGCCTGGCCAGATTTACATTGCAGAAGGTACATAAGGGCCACAAAAGGGACACAAAAAGGGACACAAAAATCTCTACTGAGTTCCTCAAAAATTGTAGGGATAAGTAAATATTGTTAGAGAATTTATATTGGTAGTTGACGAGTTCATAATAAAACTTCTGCAATAAGGTATAAAGGGTGATGCAGACCAAATTATTTCTGAAAAGGCTGAGTTTCTTTCAATTCAGAATGAACACCTTTGAAGGAAAAAAAAAAACAACTCCTTTGACACTGACCACACAGCTTAAAATGCACATTTTGTACTCCTCTGTGTGCATATATGTAATCTACATAAATTCAGAATATAAAATATATTAAATATATATTTATCTTTTAAAATGTTTTAGATGTATAAAAATATATAAAAATACAGAACATATTTTTATCACTTTTCCTATAACCTGACAAAAGACAAGGCAGCAAAGATGAAAGTCTTATATTGCTTAGCCAGATTCTAGTTGTTCATTAACTGCTGCTACTCTCACTGAAGACAACAAGCTTTTTAAGTTAGACATGAGAATTATTGCCTGATTACCATTGCTTCACTCCATCTGACTGCTCTCCAAAATTTTATTTGGAACATCTTATCTGTTAGGCAGAGCTTGATCACACCATGCTCTGCAGCAGAATGCTTATGGCTCTCTGCCACCTATTCAAATATACCATGTTTATTCACTGTTTAAACACCTTTTGTTTGCTGTACTACCATACTCACTGCTTTGGTTAAACTGTCAGGGAAATAGATCAGAAGACTGTGTGTTAACAGTTTAGAGCCTCTATTTCAGTGTGTCCAACTCAGCCCCTGTGTGCTACCCATCTGGGGTTTTGTTCTCACGTGACTCAAGAACTCATGGACGCAGAGTAAGACTCATTGAACAGTCAAAAGCAAAAAGCAAAGTTTTAGAAAAACACTTGAGAAAAAGGAAAGTACCATTTCATTCGACACGTGAAGCAGTGGATAGAGCTCACCCATTTGTAATACTGGCTGTAGGGTCGTTCCCAAAAGGCAGTAGGTATCCTCTTCTCGTATGTGGTACCATCCATTTGTACTGCACATCTGGTCTAGAAGCAGAATGTGAGAGGTCAGTCATGGGCCTAAAGCAATGACACTCACACTGTCTTTGCAAGTTTCGTCGCAGCTGAGTGATATTTTTTTCCTGTTAGGCTTCTCAGACTGTTGAAATTCCCTTTGACACATTCTATAAGCCCTACAATATGATATAAAACAAACTTTGATACATTTGTTTTCCGTTCACCCAGAACTGACTCTCCCTGGAGATCACTTGGTAAATTATACTTGTTTACTGTCGCAAAGACTGTAGCCATCTCTTTTGTTTGTATTGTTTTGTTCTTTTGCACAGGGTTAAACAATAGTCCGATCTGTTCTGTAAGACACAGCTGTTTTGGAGAACCCCCATATGCTGGCCAAACAGCCATCCCTGAGCAAAAAGCTGACGGAGAGTGTGTGCTAGATGGGAATGCCAGAGGCAGCTCACCTGCCAACAACTGCCTTCCAAGGCTTGAGGCTTTCATGCAGAGACGGCCTGGTTCTTCACAGCTTGCGACACGTGAGTAGGGGCACCAAACTGCTACTTTCACAGCAGCAGCAGAGGAACCTAAACTATAAAAGGTGGAACCAGGTCTCCGCCAGGGCACTGTGTTATCACAGCTCAGGTCCAGGTAATTGGAACCTAGGGTGATCCATTAAGAAGGCAAGTGTGTCTTCTCTTCCCATCTTAACAGATTTCTCCTTGCTGACTACACAGGCAACTCCGCAGGTTTTAAAAATTCTACGCTCACTAGATATCTAATGATTTCACAGTTACCAGCAATTGTTGCATCTGTGAGCAACATTCTCAGCAGCAGTTACATAGTACCATAAGCATACATCTAGAACAGACGGTTTCCACAATTTTCTTCAGCTTTGTTAGGCATCCCAGCAAACATCTACATTAACATACAGTGCTACCTGCTCTAGTAAAAGCAAACGAAAAAGGAAGGAAACACAGACTTTTAAAATATGACTTGTGCGTTTTTGTGATTAAAAAGGGCCCCTCAGATACAATCTAAGGTGCATCTTATGTTTTTTTATTTTTCAACCCGAGATAACACTCTGCCTACTGATTTCTAGAACATGGAGAAGGACTTGCAAATGTTCCAGAGAGGACTCAAAGTAGCCCCAAATCACCAGAAAAGGTGAGTGAAAAAAACCAAGGTATAGTTCTTAATTTCAGCACTCTCCTGCTCTCTTCTGAATACTGTAAACCAAACTCACCATCTCAGGCTGCTAAGGAAGAAACACACCCAAAAAGAGGGATATGGGGAGAAATTGGAATGGATGCAGCATCAAGAAGAGTTAAGACTTAATCATCACCCTATCAATTTCAGCTCTGTAATATCACTGTGCTTTGCTAGCAAGAAAAATGTTCAAATCCAATGAATACAGGAATAAAAACTCACTTTGTCTCAAACTGCTGGAGAAAATAAATGATCCCATTCTTCTACAAACAAGTACAAGATAAATCCTGCCCTTTTAACACAGATTCTTTACATTTTAACTGCTAACAGTTTTAATTTTGGTAATACCATTTTGTGAAAGTAACATACTGGGGTTTAGATCCAACTTCACAGCTGTGTTTATAAACGCCATTAGAAGGCTCTCTTTGCAACAGCTCTTTAGTCTCAAGCTGCACGTTAACCAATTACTCACTTTCACAGTGATTGTACAATAGCTGGTTGCTAAGTTTTTATGCTAATACAAACACTGTCACAAGGGTGGCAAAGAAAAAACCACCGCAAATGTTGCTATACTGATACTGAACAACAGGTGGCACTACTCAGATGTTTTGCAGAAAATGTGCTAAAAATAAGAACGAGGTTCTTTCCTAACTTTCTTATTTTTATTTTTTTTTATGTCTCAATGTTGCTCTTTGACTCCCAATCTGGGCATAGTAATGAACCTCTCTTACTTTTTCTGTATGCATGCAGAACACAGTTCTTCAAATTGTTTACTGTTTTGGCTGCAAAATAACTTCCCAATGGCCAGATACTGCCATGTGGTGACACACACAGAAAACTACTGTTGCTTACCATTTGGTGCATTTTGCTTTTCCTCTGCCTTCCCCTGTGCACTTCTAAACAAAACCTTCTGCTAATCACATTGCAATTCCCAGACTCTTACTATACTGGCCAAGCCTGCACACAGAGAAATGAAGAGTTGCTGAGGAGCACCCTGCAAATCCATGATGGTAAAGCAAACAAAGCTTAGAGGTCCAGATTTAACTCCTTCCTCATCCAGTTTCTCTTCATTGTTATTCAGCATCACTTTCATTCTTGTACCAAAATCTAGATCTTTCCAGAAAACAGATTTTCAAAAAAGATGATTCAAAGCAAAGCTTAGTATAAGGTTCTACACATTTTCTTCAGCAGTAAGGGGAAAAAAATCCAACATTATGCTGTGCATATCTGACATTATTCCTGGTGACTATGTGTTAGAGCCTGTAATCATTAACCTATGCATTTCCTATTTCTGGCCATTTTCAGCCAAATAACAGTTTTACATGTATTTACTGCTGATCATCCTTTCTGGGGATCCCTGTTAGACATATTTCACGTTGCCTTTAATTGCTCTGAAATGGAGTCCAGGCATTTCCTTACAGATTGTTTTCTATTTTGGAAAAGCTTTTGAAAAAACACCCCCAAACCTCTGCACAACCAGCAACTGCCCAGGGAGTCCTCCAGACTCTCTTCCAGCCTTCTTCTGCATGCCTCAACTCGAGTCACAGTCCTCACGCCCAGCAGAACACAGATCTTGACCTAAGCTACCTGCATTGGGAAATAAAGGTAAGATGTGACTGCTGCAGCACATGGCTTCCAATGATGTGATACATTTTTATTTCTCCAGGATAGCATGAGACATTATTTGACAGACTTTATTTTTCCCACTGTGGATTCTACTGACTTAAATTTGTAGTTAGCTATCACTCTGCAAGACAGTTTGCGTAGCTGTAAAATTCTGCATGCTCCGGCTACTACAGCTAAACCAACACACGCACCAGAGCGATAGTAACTATCTCATACATCTTCCAGGTGCTTGAAAAACTGAGAAATGTTTTCCAGACAGATTCACTTACAGAGATCCAAGAATGGCTCTCAAAGGCGAGTCTAAAAGGTAACAAGCACGTGCGTTCATTTTTGAAAGGAACAAATCTCTGACATATTTGTATAAACCCAAGAAATTCTCACAGGCCTGAACTGTGTAAGATTGCTGAGTTGGAAGGACTCACTGAGGTGTGCCCAGATGTGGCCGTTCTGAACAGAAAGCAGTCACCCAGATCTCAGCAGACTCAGGTCTGCTGCAGGGTAGGAAAACCTCACACTCTCAGTAGCACTCTGGGCTGCAGGAAGGCAGAAAACAAGTGTTATTTCTCATGTCCTTAAGCCCCTCAAAAAATCCGGGTAAAGGAACTCCCAAATTCACCTCCAAACATTCAAATCAGCAAGCAATAATGTAAATAAAATCTCTGCTGTTTTCCAATTTCAGAGAAAGTCTTCATGTCCAGAGTGATTTGCTCTGAACTGACTGGTAAAGGCAGGCTGAATAACCAGCCACAGGCAATGCAGGAAGGTGCAGGAGAGAGCACAGATATCCAGAGTTTGCTAAAGCCTCGGTCTCCTCAGAGAGGTCCAGAAGGAGATACAAATAACAGGTAAAATCTGTGGTGAGGCTGCTAGGGTGAGGAGATAGGCTAAACCTAACTAGAAAGTGTTGTTTTCTTTGCCTCTGGATTTTGTGAAAAATGCAACTTTCTGACTGAAGTGCATCACACATCTTGAATGAGAAACACTTCTAACTATAAAACTGCTCACACACTCTGATACAACTTTAGTTATTATGGGAACAGGACAGAGCTTTCTGAGCACTTTAAAGCTCTTTCAAAACAAAAACAAAAACAAAACAGCAAAAACAAACAGAAAAGGCAAGCCTCCTGTATGCTGCAGAGAACAGTTCATACCGTTTGACTTTTATTCCTTTTTCATTCAGGCCTTCAACTAACAGATCAGAAGCAAGTCGAAACATGAAGCATGGTAAGTACTGGAAATTATAAATGTTAAGATGCCATGTGCCTCGCATGCTACAGAAAAGGGACTGTGAAGTAGAGCAGCCTTCCCTTTTGTCACCACAGAAGGGCCCAAATTCAGTGACAATATGAGAAATTAAACTTAAAAACGGAAGTTCCCTAAGCTAGATAGCCAAGACTCTTGAGGCCACTCAATTGGTTTCTCTTGATATGACATTCATGAAAATCTTAACCAGTGCACCTCATAAATGCAGGAAGATAAGGGATGCGTATAACAGCATCTGCGTGTTGTTGGAAAAATCATAGCAGCAGGATCTCTTCCTCCACTAAAATCTCCTTTTAGGAGTTTCACATAGGCTGAAACTCATGCTGCTAACAAACTTTGGAATTTGCCATCATGTAATGTATCTCCCTGACACTTTGCAGCTAAAATCCTTGGAGATTTTTTCAGCTACCAAAGCCCCCTTTTGAGCCTCTAGCCAGCCAAGAGAAACAGAAATCCCCACAGAACCCACCAGTGCCTCTTTGTATCCCTTCTGAAACACAAAGACAGCAAAAGGCAGTACCTGAATGCCTGATCGTTTTAACAAAGCCATTCACAGCAGCTCCAAAGCATTTACTGCTGTTACTAACCTTACTGAAGGAGCAGGGAAACATGACCTTTTATAAGAACAAGCACAAAAGAAAAAACTTTCGAAGTATCAATTTGTCCTTCAAAGTGCTGCTGGGGATGCAGAAGAGACGTCCTTTCTCAAGTGTCTACCAAAAATTCTAAGCCTAGCCTGGTAACATACTGCTTTATTTTTCAAAATCTTTTCCAGAAATGGATAAAGACCGTATTTTGTTCTCAAGGCTGAGAAACAGAAGTCCAGCACATGCAGACACATCATCCCCAGAGAAGAGTCATGGCTGGCAATGGAAACAAAGAGATGTGCCCTTGAATGCTGCCTTGCAGCAAGCAAAACAACAGACAGCCCCCACCCAAGGGAGGCCCATGTCTTCATAGCCATTAAAGCAGCTGCAAGTCATTTTCACATACAGAAATGCATACTCTTAGCACTTACAGATATAAAATTAGAACAAATGTAAAGAAATCTGTTCAGATTCCCTTTTAAAATTATTTTCTGCTCATTACATTTGGCTCTCAAATCATGCTGCATAGGTACACGTGAGGTCAGCTAAATGGAAACAGGCAGAAGCGATGCTTTTCAGCATCAGATTTGTGTTTTTGCATGATCCACCTAGGCCCACACTAATAACTCTTGTTATTCTAACTCTCTCTTGTAACTCTCGACAGTCACAGGCATAATGAGACAAGGAGAGGGTCACCACTTAAAAAAAAAAAAAAGACCCTGGGTTCTGGCTGCAGTGACTTCAGACGTCTACCTCACAGCAAACCATTGTGTACTTCCATAGCTCCCATTATCAACAGAGCAGCATCACAGATTGATTTTAGCATCTGCAGCACATGGGGCAAACTAAGCATGAAAACTACCATGCACACCTCAAGCCACTGAAATGTAGGCCAACAATGACAGAAAAATACCTGGACCTTTCTTAGGTCAAGTGAACTGTGAAAGCAGAAGAATTAGATTTTATCTGAACACGTCCCTGCCAATTCATTCTCACAAAACCAAAGCATGCTGATAAATAAGCCACAGTTCTACTGATTTTTTAGAGAAAAAGAAATTCAGTGAAAGTAGGTTCTTTCAAAACAACTGCCTCTTTGTTGGGAAAGAAGAGAAAGAGAGAAATTCTGTTAGCACAATGTTATGGAAAAAGGAACTTAGCTCTGAGCAGAGCTTAGCTTACTCTTCTAACAGCCCCTGTCATCATGTCCAATCATTTCTACCATAACAGCCACCTCCTGCACTCCCACTTCTCTCTGCAGGACAGGAGCACACTGTGACCTGGGTGACAGTCCCAGCTCTGTGAGCAGCCAGTGAAAAGCCACTTGCACAGAGCAGTCATTGCTCAGATGCACTTGCCAGCTCATACCACAGATGCAGAAACTCAAACAATTTAAATGGGTATCAGTTTCTGTTAATATGTTAGGCATATGTCATTTCCCTACAGCTGTCCAACTGTATTAGCCTGTAGGGCTTGGTAAATGGGAGCAGATCTTCAAGTGGGAGGAGTTGACAAGCATCATATTGTACAAGATGAACCCCTTCCCTTCTACGGTGCTTTGAAGTTTCCCTTGTGTCTCGGGTAATAACACTACAGAAGAGGTGGAAACCAAATAGCAGCAAAACTGAACAGCAGGGCTGAGAGACCATATATTGAGTGAACAGTAACAATGTGCGTGTACTTCTGGGCCATATTCACATTGCCTTAATTCTATATAAATCTCTGCCCTAAGCATTTCTTATCAGCTGTCTCTCAGCATCACGCTGTGTTAGTTGAGCCTGAAAAGCTTAATTAAATCTCAGAGACCTTGGAGACTCGTTACTGAATAGAATCAGAATGAAAGGAAGGTTAGTACAGCTTCAAAAGCATAGTTACGTTCCCTCTGTGAAGCTGGCAGGCTACTGAGCAAACACGTCAGAGCCATTAGGTGAGATAGTTTGCAAGGTTAGTTTTAGTCAGCTGCATCTTCAAAGTTATTTCCCTTCAAAGCCATAGGCTACTGCTTTTGCTAGATGTCCAAGACAAATCTCCCTCAAAGGTGCTTCACCCATCTAGGAAAATCATAGAATGACTTGCTTGGAAGGGATCTTGAAGATCATCTAGTTCCAACCCCCCTGCTACAGGCAGGGACACATCCCACTAGACCAGGGTGCTCAAAGCCCCATCCAGCCTGGCCTTGAACACCTCTCCAGGGAGGGGAATCCACAACCTCACTGGGCAACCTGTTCCAACATCTCACCACCCTCACAGTACAGAATTTCTTCCTAATATCTAGTCTAAATCTACCCTCTTCCAGTTTAAAGCCATTTCTTCTCTTCCTGTCACTACATGCCCTTACGAAAAGTCCCTCCCCAGATTTCCTGTAGGCCCCCTTCAGGTACTCGAAGGTCACGATAAGCTCCCCCCAGAGCCTTCTCTTCCTCAGGCTGAAGAGCCCCAGCTCTATAAGCCTGTCTTCACAGGGCAGGTCCTCCAGCCTTCTGATCATCTTCACGGCCCTCCTCCAGACCTGCTCCACATCCTCCTCGTACTGGGGGCCCCAGAACTGGATGCAGTACTCCAGGTGAGGTCTTACAAGAGCTGAGTAGAGAGGCAGAATCACCTCTCCCAACCTGCTGGCCATGTTTCTATTGATGCAACCCAGGCTATGGTTGGCCACCTGGGCTGCAAGCGTGAAGGACAAACAAGTTTCAATGCATGAATCTTAAGCCTAGAATAAAAGTTATTTATGTTTAGAGGCTAAAGAATGGCAAAAGTCACACCAGATCAACAGGCTACAGCCTAATGCAAGTGTTACCCAGTCATGCTGTGCACCTGTCCTGACTCCTTCCCTGGTCCTACCTGCTTGCTCTATTGATAATGCAGATTCTCTAACAGGAAGAGCTGAAACAGATTCTTACAAACACCAAAGCACAGCAAGGACAGAGATATTTGAAAGACTATTCTGGTGAGACAGCTGCATTTCTTTGTCCTGTAATAAAATTAGATGCCTCATCTTCAGAACTATCATTTGTTCTTACCACCAACAGCTGGGAGCCCACAGCCTTTTGGAAGCATCCTCTGTTACTGAGAAGAATCAGTATGCTAGTTTAAACAGTCATGCATCAATGTCAAACACTTCTAAATGCTTCATGAACTACTTGGGTTGCAAACCAATCTCCCCTGAAAGTATTTATTTCCATTCCTCTTCAGAGAGGTTACACTGTCACTGCAGATTGGCCCCACTCAATGTATCTCTGCAGTGTGCGGTTCAAACAGGAAAGTTACATGCTTCACTGGAATAACTAAATATGGACAAATTTTCAGAGTTTTCAGGAAAAAAAACTATGCAGTCGTTGAAAACTATTTCAATAAGCAGTTCTGAAAAAAAAAAGCCTTATTATTCTAACACATTTGAGTATCTTTATTATGCAACTTACTCACTGAACAAATAACTGACGGCACTCATCATTCATCGCCTTCAGTTCAGATCTCATACCTGTCTTTTACTGGGGATTTACTTGGACCTGGAATAGCAGTTGCCATCTCTCATTTTTAACAGCTGGAATTGTTGCTGCTGTGAGGCAGCTTTCTCTAAGCGATACGTCCAGCCTTCCCGCGAGTAATTTTGGTGTCATGCCTGCAACACAACTGTCAGAACTGTCAAACTGTCAGCGCGCCATGCCATATTGCAGGATGCAATTCAAACAGCTAGGAAGCCACGCTCAAAGTCCTACAATTTCTCACAAATCCCATGATTTTTTTTAATCACTTGATTGTTTCCCACCCACCACTGCAGAGCGACAAGGTACTAAGATGTACTGCTTGGGAAGCCCGTGCTCTTTTTCACAGGGGCAGTCAAACGTTCAGGGAAACTGGAAAATATAAGGACAGCGTACACATCCGAGTGAAATACAGGACAAGGCCAACGCTACTCGGGATGCTTCTCCCAGGGATGTCAACAAATGGCCATCCTATCTTTCCGCACTTCCACAAAGCAAAAAGATACTAGAGAGACAGGAGGACGACATTCCTGGTCTGTCTGTTGAGTGGATGCATCACAGCAGGAGCTACAGGTCTCCCCACTTTTGTGCTGCAATCATTTTGTTGATAATTCTGTCCAAGCTCAGGAAGAAAATCTCACCCAGTTCGTTACCTCACAAGAAGTACAAGTCCTTACTGCTCCATCTACAGTTAACTAGCAGTTAACACAACCTGAGGACAGCATCTTGTAGAGACAGTGCATGACAAGATGCACAGACTTCAGCATAGTATGACCAGTGAGGTTAGCATGATCAGAGAAAAAGTAAACAACAGCAACAGAAATTACTGGCAAAGGCACTAGAAAGGACACAAAGACCAAAGTGATTTAGACAACATAAATGAACACTCAGCAATTGGTCATAATATCACTACTATGATATTACGGAGCAACACTCAAAGTTTTACAAAAGCAACATGCTAGACTTTTCCTAATTTGAAGTTAAATGTGTTAGAAAACAGGAACCAGGAGCCAAGAGACACTTCCAGACAGTGCTTCTTTGTTTTGTAAGACCATACAAATCCCACTGACTTTAGAACTTGCTGGCAATCATTGCCCAGGTCTCTCACAAGCTCACAACTTTCACCTGCTTTGTGCCAATCAGTCTGGCTACGTGCTTTCTTTGCTTGTCAGTACCACAGGCAACTACTGTCTGTTGAATTAAGTGGGATACTGGACCTCTAAGTTGCAGGTACTTCAAATCTGTTGGAAACACTGCAGGTAGGCATCACTCAAATCTTGCAGTCATTCATACATCCTGTAGATTAAAGCTAGGCCAGGAATATGGTCTCGATTTATCCACAGGTAGGAAAGCTCCAGACTCGCAACAGCTTGATTTAAAAATGTGCATTTTTCTGATTTCACTGCTGCATATGCAAGACAGGCTGTCTTTTAGGCTGTAATACAATTCCTTCATGAAACTAAAATGCTTCGTCACCAGAATAATTTCATAAAGTGCCACTGGACCTGTTCAAGTGTCTCTAAAGTCCCCAGCTTATCTCCTAAATGAGGCACACATATGAAATAAGTCTTAAAATCTATGAGCCCACAGTGTGCATGAACCAGCAGCGTGCCCTAGTGGCTAGGAAGGCAAATGGTATCCTGAGCCCCATCAAAAGAGGGGTGGCCAGCAGGGACAGGGAGGTGATTGTCCCTCTCTATTCTACTCTCGTGAGACCCCCCCAGTATCTGGAATACTGAGTCCAAGCGTAGAGCCCCCAGTACAAAAAGAACAGCTGTTGGAGAGAGTCCAGAAGAGAGCCACGAAGATTATCGGGGGCCTGCAGCACCTCCCGTACAAAGAGAGGCTGAGGGAGCTGGGCTTGTTCAGCCTGGAGAAAAGGCTGCAGGGTGACCTCGTTGCAGCATTTCAGTGCCTAAAGGGAGCCTACAAAGAGGAGGGGAATCAACTCTTTGAATGGGTTGATACCTGCACAACAAGGTGAAATGGTTTTAAGTTGAGGGAGGGAAGATTTAGGTTGGATGTCAGGGGGAAATTCCTTACTGAGTGAGTGGTGAGGTGCTGGAACAAACTGCCCAGAGAGGTTATGGATGCCCCGTCCCTGGAGGTGTTCAAGGCCAGGTTGGATGAGGCCCTGGGCAGCCTGGTCTAGTATTAAATGGGGAGGTTGGTGGCCCTGCATGTGGCAGGGGGGTTGGAGGTTCATGATCCTTGAGGTCCTTCCAACCCTGGCCGTTCTGTGATTAAAAAAACCTTCAAGAGACTGAAGCATCTTACAGCAGGTTTGATGGGTGCTATGTACACTCACATGCGGTGCCTCAGCTGTAAAGATGTACCTCCTTGCAATTTGACTGTTTTACAAATTTTTGTCAAAACTCAGTGTAATAACTAGTGGGCATACTTACACTGCTCTTGTTAGACACAATACCAGCAGTGCTTTTATGAAGAAGCTAATCTTGCTGGAACAAAAGAATGTTTTTATGTAGTCTAACAAAACTAAACCAAGAACTACTTGAGGAAAAAAAAAAAAGCTATTTCAAAAGAAGAAACTTTTTCTGCGGATATTTTAGAAATACAGGGAGAGGTTTAGGAACTAATGACCAGTTTGGTGCCAACCCTTTTAGGACCACAAAGACTGCAGGAATCTCACTTCCATTGTCAATTAAAAAGCAGTAACAGAGGAAAGAATACAGATACAAAGTCACATTTCCATCTCCTCTGATTCCAGGTCAGCAGAGACGAGCAGTCACGATAAGGTGGGTTTTAGCTCTTCAGCAATCAGTGTGAGAGCCATACTTTTTCACATTCCAAAATGCCCCAGCAGCTACTTGGACAGCCCCTACAAAGCTAGGGAATGGGGCACATTCTCACAGGTGAGAAGCAAAGCCACACCTCTGAAGTGTCCATTTCTGAACTTGGAAAAAGCACAAACTGATTGGCAGCTTCAAAACAGAAACTATGGCTTTAAAAGGGGAAAAAAAAAAAAAAAGCAAAGCACTTGACAGACAACACAGTTAATAGAATGGGGAAAAAAAACAACAAAACAAACAACCAAAAAAACCCAGGTATACTGCCATCTGAACTCACTGCACATGTACCAACAAACGTATCACACCCCAGCCAAGGCACATGCTTTGCATGTACACAGACACCCATTTACTCAAGCTGAAGCATTAAGCAATGGCTTGACCCCATACTTGTATTTCCTCCTCTGACCACAACTAAAAATCAGGGGGAAAAATGGGAGTGGCTCAGCTGATAAAGGCAGCACAGTTGCTTGTGACTGTCTGTTGAGATGCTCAGGAAAATCAGAGTTATTTCTGTTTTTAAATGAATGCCTTGCAAACAGGCACTAGTGATACAGGTTTTGAGGTCACAGGATTATTTGTAATTCATTGCTTAGAACTGAAACAGAGATGAATGCACACATTAAAACAGCGATTCAGTATTTTGGGTAATATATCCAAGCAATTATTAAAAAAACAAAAACCACATAAATAACATAGCTTCCTTGGTAAACAAAATAAATTCTGCATTTGCTATTCATTTATTTTTTAAAGCTATTAATATAGAAGTTTCAGGATAAAAACTGCATTTGTTTTTACCCTTTCTGTCCAAGAACAACTTTGACCCAACTCTGAAGCTACCAAGCACTGAGACAATTAAGTATCACAAGGGCAGCAGATGATCTTCAGAGCTTAACTGCTTCGTGTCTCAGTGTTATCCCACAAACTCCATGTCTCATCTTTCCCATCTTCTTATTCTGCAGGCTAATTGCTGTCTGAGTCCTTGTCTTCACCCTCTTTCTCACATAGGGCACGTTGGGATGAATCACTGGCTTCCCCCAAAGGAACTGCCCCCTTCCGCTGTGGCAAGACACTGAAAAAGGCCTCCTTCCAGTCTCTCTTCTCCAGGTACGCAAGGATGATTTCAAACACTGCAACGTCAAGAAACACTATCAGCTCTTTTACAAGAAAGAAACTGAAGCACTGATAGGGACACAGCTCCAAATCCATTTTTACAGACATTTACATGCATTTGAGTAGAGCTGAGGAAGTGAAGGAAGAAGCAGAAGTGGCAATCTGATACTGTTGCAGTTTAAAGCAAAGCACTTTCAGCCTCTAGTCTCTGTAGTCTCTCGGTTACTACAGCAACACTTTTCTGTAGTTGCTCCACTTCGAATTGACTTCTCTCAGGGACAGAAGAATGTCCCCCCGTCCTTCAGGTCTCACAGGTGCCTTCTATACTGGCATTAACACTTTCCCATGTTAGAAAGGAATACTCCTGTGGATGCACTTTAACAATGATGTCGCTTCCCTCCCAAATTATAACACAAAGACAGTCCCAAGTCTTCCTAAAACCTACTATAACCTCATTATCTTTCTCTTCCACTTCTAACTGATGAAATCCAAGCTTAAAAGCAAAAACTCTCATTACTCCCCCTTTCAGCAACCATTAATAATACAAACTTCTTGCTGTTGCTATTATACTAACCATACTGTTACCCAACTCCTTTCTGTTTCACCTCTTAAAATTTTCCCTGGTTGACAATAGCTCCAAAGTGCATTATATGCAAACTATGTAATGCAATCAGCAAATTCTTATTTAGAAAAATCCCAGGCTGCCCCTCCCAAAAAAACTCCTAACATAAATTGCAGCCCTACAGCAGCAGGGAAGGCAGGAGGCAGCCCTATGGCTCATAGGTTAACCAAACATAGCTAACAAATCTGGAGTGCAGGGGTGGTTCCTCAAGCTCGAGAAGCACTGCAGAAGCTCAAGCACTATAGAAATAGTGCTAACACCATTTGAGAATGGAGACTTCAAAAAAAAAAGAAAAAACCACATACCCAGTGCAAATGTTCCATATGAGAAAGGATCAGAGGAGCTCTGAGGAGCTGCACAGATCTCATGCTGAGAGTCAAGATACAGAAAAGTATCACATTTACTGGAGGTTTCCTAGATCCAGGTTTCCTGGACAGCCTGCCAGGATGCCCAGATTACAGGACAGTGTGACACTGACGTAGATGGCCATTTTACTGAGCAGGTTATTCACCTTGGAAGCATGCGGAAGCATGAACTCTCAAAGGTCATAGCACTGCATTAAGACCACTTTAAGTTACTCCAGAGAACATCTGTGGCAAAAGTGGCTGCTCAAGAAACAAGAAGAATGCAAGGAACACCCTTGCTTTGGAACTTGATACAGTAAAATTAGAACTGATGGAAAGAGAGAGGCTTCAATGATATGCTGCAATAGCAACAAAAGCATTCAGCAAGGACGTGAGAAGACGATGGGAGCAGTTAATAGACATCACTGCAGACTGGAACGTAACATGGTACTGTAACATACAGCAAAATGAATTTGCCTTGGCATAGAAACCTGAATGGATGTTTGTGTTCCTCATGCCATTATAACACGCAGACTCTGAGCCATTGTAGAAGTATACAGAGACACCATCCCAATGAAAGCTATAAATAAGCAAATAAATGAAAAGCAGGATATGGACTCCACTGTTAACAACACTAGCGATTTCTCACCACCAGAGGGCCCCATTCAATTTAAGTGCTTCAAAGACTGACAAGGCAGTTAATAAAGAGTTTCTTTGAGATTTTTCAAATTCACCACTATTAAAAGCAGTTCCATAGAGACCAGGCAGGTCCCACAGTCTCGTCTGTCCCATGCTCTGGTCTTCTAGCTTCAATCCCTGCACAGAGAGCAGGCACCCAGATGTCAACCAAAACAGAAATGGGGAGCAATCACAAAAGCAACAAGATGCGTTCTCAGGACAACAAAAAAATCTCAGCGCAAATAAGCTTCTCTCTTGCACAAAATTTACACGAAACTTGAGAGACAGCTTGATTCTGTTCATCTTCTTCATATCTAGTAGCATTTCCCTTGACAACTGTCTTTTTTAATTTAGCTTGTGTTATTAGGGTTACAATATGGACCAGGCTATGATTACAACCACAATGTCCCTCCGCTTTTGGCAGTGGTGGAATTATTCTTGCCTGAAATCCTTAAGCGAAATAGCAGAACCTCACAAATGGTCTGTGTGTTATGCTTTTCAGCTCTGATCTGAAAATATTTTAGGAGAGTATATTTTAGGGAATGTAATCCCACACAATATGAAATCCCAGCAACTAAACTGCAGTAAAATCAGGTGCCTAGAAGTCTAACACAAGAAAAATGCATAATATCATAAAACAAATAAACAAGTGCCCGAATAAGTGATCTCTTTTTCTCCCCATAAGGCAGCCTCCAAAAATGTTGACACTAGAGGTCAGTATAAGACTACTGCAGAAAAATTCTCCAATAAAACTTTACAGACAGCAGAACTTCTAATAAGTAGCAAAGATTTGCTAGTGCCTACATAAAGAACACATAAAGATTAAGTTTTAGAAACTATTTCCTTTATGTTTAAATATTCTTTATTATCATGCAAACGTGCATCTCATCAATCACTGGCCTCTCATGAAATTAAAGTTATCGTGCAACACATTAATAACATAACAAACTTACACAAGGCAAGACAAATAAAATAAATGAACACGAAGTGAGGCAAAATGAAAACTCAAATGCCATGTTAAAAAAACTCCCACAATGGTCTGTGCAGCCCCTGTTTTCTGTGCTTTTTTTTTTTTTTTTTAAAAAAAATGACACTGGAAAATAATCACAGAACAGGAGGACTAGAAGGCGTCAAGACTTCATCAAGCATAATTGTATACTTCAACCAAAACCAGGAAGCTAGGTAAAAATGCAGTTATGAAAGCTCAGCAGACGGAGAACTGCTTAACCAAACTAGGTCAGCATACAGGTACCTAAGCAGTTACAGCTGAACAAAGCTGTCAGAAGACATGAAAAAACATCACATTCTTAACCTCCAGTGGAATAAAATACACAGAATGGTTTTTCAGTGTTTTGTTCACTTACCCACTAAGTCTAGAAGTAAGGCTGGGGTGGTAGCAATGCCAAAATGAATCACGGGACAAGTTAAGAGAACAGAAGGTGCAGTTGTCAGTGGATAAGGCACTTCCTTAGCTACTTTTGTATTTCCCCATACCTAAAATACTTAAAGGTTATGACTACTGCATCCCAAAGGCAATTAGATGCAAGAAATACCAGCTCACTAAAAACTGGATGCTTTCACTACAGCGCACAATCCGAAGTTTCAAACTCAGAATTCTGCAGGTACGTTCTGTAACAGCATCGTCACTCAGTATTTTAGAACTCACCATGATTGACTGCTAACACTTTCCGACTGTTCATCTTCACAAAGCTTCCCAGAGGGAGCTGTGCGTGACCGATTCCTTGCTCTACAGCTTTTTTGTAAGTAATTCCCTGGAGGAAAGGCATAAGAACAACTGGACTGAGTACCACAATTCCATATCAGCGCATACAGATAAGATTACAAGCATCATTTTCTGTCCAGAGTCTCATCAGCACTGCCTCACTATTGCTGAGGAAGATATTTAAAAACAGAAAACTATCCAGATAAGACAGTATCTGCTTCAAGAGTTACCTCTGAAAACATGCCACCTCAAATACATGTCACTCTATGACGTACGATCAGAAGGATGGCAAACAAGACCTGGTCATACAGGTCTAGAACATGCCGGGCACAGCCTGCTTCAAGGGCAAGCCTGGGCTGAAGCACAAAGTTACTCAGTTTAAGGTAACCAGGTTGATTTTTTTTTTTTTATTAAAAAATAAAAAAAAAAAAATAGGGGAAAAAAAAAAAAAAAAAAAGCAAATTCAGTACCTGAGAAACAAACAAGTTCTGGAAAGTGTGTACACTTGCACAGTCAATAAGTATACAAGGTTAGCCTTGGTAAGATGTAAAATCAGTAAAGCCAGCAGGGCCAATGATGCCCTCTCTTACACATCAGACTCGCAAGAGGTTAGATTTCTCACAGGACCTTTCAGCTCCAGCAATAAGGACAACTCAGCCCAGCACTGTCATTGAAGATGACAGTGCAAAACTAGAAATTAAAGGTTCTCAAGATTAAAGCAGTGTCCCTGCTTGTGTTTCTCTCCCTCTGATCTCAAAGAGCGCTAAGTATCGCAGTGGTGCTGCAGTCAGCCCTGAAGAGGATTCAGGCTCTAGTGCAAACCAAGCTAAGTGCCCATCAGCATCGGTGGTGCTGACACAAGGGAACCACAGAGGAGATCAGCAATGCAGAGCAGTCAGACGAGTCTTCATTTAAGCCCCCTAAGGAAAGCCAGATGCCAGAAATTGCACTGTCAGATACTGGCTGTGTGTCAGCCCTTCACTTGGGATTGGAGAAGGAAGCCGATACCCCACAAGCCATTCTAGGCTAGGCTCAGTAAAATTATCACCTTGGAAAGATAATCAAAATAAATGAAAACACTCACCAGTGTTGTAGGCTTGCAGCAAACTCCACAAGGAGCCATCCCCAGAAAGAGTGCCTTCCTCAGTGGCAGTCAGTCCTTAAATGGGGTCTAGGAGAGGTGGAGCCAGGCTCCACCCCTTCCTGGTAGCACAGGGGAATTGCTTTCACCTGTGCTCTCACAGCTGACTCACTGCTCACCTCAGGTGATGAATCAGAGGTTCAGGCTGTGATCAACAGCTCCCATACAAGTGAGTAACCGCTTGTATTATAATGACCATAAGGGATTCGCTTTAGTTTCCTACTAGCCTTTAAGTGTGGACTAACTGCTTTAGTATCATTGGTGATGCTAAGAAAAAAAAAAAAAAGGAATGAATCTTAAGCCTCAACACATCACCAGAAGTGATATCGGGGTTTCTTTGAACAAAAGTGGGAACAAAAGCACACAAAAAGTGCTTTTATTTCCCAGCTGCATTCTCCATGACTTTCCAGGTTCACACAGCACAGTCCCATGTGCAGCTATGGAACCAATCTCTCAGGCACTTGCATTACTTCACTAAATTCTCCTGTCAAGCAAACTCATTAAAAAAAGGATATTCAAGATTCAAGCACTGCTCTTCATCTATTTTTGGGTGCATGCACATACAAGCACACACACAAGTGCATGAAAAGAAACCAAACCCTTCTGTCTGAAAATATGGCCCTCAGTAAGCTGAGCAGCGTTATGAATTCCGTTCCTATATTTAAAACTAAAAGATTCAATCCTAAAAAGCCTCAGTACGTCTGCACTCTGGAACACAAGTCACTGATACCACCACAAGCTTTACTTTCCCTCTTCTGCAACAAATTTTTAATGAAATCTTTGTTGAAGAAGTTTTCTTATTATTTATTTTTGTTAGTTTATACGTGTGCATTATTTACGCAAAACAACATGTGAATAGAAGAACTGTAAAGAAGAAGCATACCCACAGTTTACCTTGTGGTGATTATGATCCACCAGTCCTCCAATCACATAAGCCTTCCTCTCGTCAAGCTCACCAAGAACGTCTGGGGAATCTGAGGTGAGGTACACTAGGTCTTCTTTCTTTATTAGCTCACTGTAGTGCTCTGTTCTAATTTGGATATCCTAAAAGAATTCAAAGAGTTACATTTAACTGCTGAGTTGCTGGGCAATCTTTACAGACCCAAGACTGAACCAGCAAAAACAAGGGTCGCTTTACGCCCCTCATTCACGTTTCACTACGTCCCACAGTACAGACTGCATACTGCATGAATAATCCACAGACCCACCACTGCTCCCTAGAGCACTGGTGTGTAAAACAGTTGCTGAGAAACTTTCTGAAACGCCAAAAGAACTCTGCAAAACCTTAAGTTCTTGCGATTCTCTTCAAGTGTTACCTTCTGTCCCCACAGAGATTCCAATCATTTCAAGACCACCTTTCCAAAAGAGCAAGAACAGATGCAAACACTAAGCGAACAGCACTTGTTAGGATGTGGGAGGAGAGGTTTACTCTGTGCCTCTGGCGATCACACAAAATCTGCTCAAAGTGGAACCACTCTTCAATCACACCAGCAGTGCTCTTCCCAATAAAAAATTAAAAATAAAAACCAAAAAGAGCACTGCCAAAACAGATGACTGTCAGAACTGCCTAAATCAAGCAGTCCATCAGAGAACAGTATCTGTTCAAGAAGAACAAGTGAAGACTGTGTGTGGAGTGTTCAAAGCAAAAATAAAATCTAGATTCAATACAAGCACTCTTTGACTAAAGTTATACTATTTTAGAGCACAAAGAGCCTCACTTCAACGTGATATTGCTCTGAAGTCACAGAAAAAAAAATAACCATAGATAAAGCACTGGTCCTTCACAATACATAACTTAGCTAACAATTGTAATGATTTCTTTTTCCCTTCTTATAGAAATAGTCAAATATTCACCTTCCAGTTGACCCATCCTTTGTCATTTTCATTCATATTGCTCTTCAGCTGTCCCCCATGGCTGGTCAAGTAGAACTTTGACAAGAACAAATGAAAGATACACATCACTAAATCGTTAAAATGTCAATCTGTTTCCCACTGTACAATTTTTTATTTTTTTTTTTTCCTCTTAAGCATTAGCTAAAATGCTCACTTATCATCTAGTTTAAAGTGATAGTGGTGCTAAGACCACATCATGCAGTTAGGAACATAAAGAAATACACACAGTCCCTTTTTTCCACCTATGTGTCATGGACAAAACTGACTATCAGCACTGCTTTAGTGGCACACCAGTATCTGGCACTGCACCAACAGCCACACACTTTCTTACATGTATTTTTGTAACTTCTGGGTTGAAAATTCATTAGCTAAAATAGATGTAATTTTCTTATTAAAAAAACAAAGCTTTTTTTTTTTTTCTTCTTCTTCTTTAATGTCCACCTGTGTTGCAACTGTCTTTTTCACACACTTTGTATGTGACAATACAGCCATACTTAGTTTGTTTCAACATACCTGCACAGGATGGAATGCTTTGCGATTTTCTGCATAACATCTCTGAATTTGCTTGTGAAGCTTCTTAACATCCTGTATACAACACAATTTGTTTTTTTACATAGTCCTTCAGACAGACCACCACAAAATGCTTTACCATGAGCCAGAAGCTAAAGAGAGAAAAAGGAGGCTTTTAACTGGCAAAAGTGACTGCTAACAGAGAGCGGACATCAGACCCTGACAGAAGGAACAGCCTTTGTGAAGGGATTCTGCTGACATGGAAACATACATCTTCCACATTTAAACACCTCTATGCACATGCTTGATTTGCATTGTTCAAGGAAACAAACAAAACAAAAATCACTGAGATTTAAGCACACATGTAAACATTCAAAATTAATCTCAGGAATCAATGAAATTTGCCACGCCACAACACTCAGTCAGTGCCACGCGTGCTCCGCATTACAGTCAAAAAGCAGCCAGATGGACTTTGCAGAAGCTCAAATTCATGCAGTCTTGCAGGACAGTGAAGTCAGAGCAGTAGAAAGGCTCAGGGCAAAAGCAAGGGGAGAGGTCTGCCTTAAACACTGCGGCCTGCACTCATACATGAGGCTGCAAAGTATTGCATGTTCCTTGTAGGGGTAAAGCTGTTCTGATCTCAAAATGGCAGATCAAGTGTCTTGACCAGTGGCTGGGTACCATGGCTGATCTTTCTTATATTTACCTATCCTGTGAACATCTCTCCCCCTTTTTTTTTTTATTTTTTATTTTTAATATATAATCCACTCTAAAATTTTAGAGATTTTGTGCTGTCCTGCCCAAACCACTTCTGGTGTACTTAAGAGAAAAAGCTCAGTATCCTCATAATGCTAAGAGTTCTAATTGCCGTGGAACCACTCTAACACTGCTGGGAGCCTCACACTGATTTCAAAGAAAAAAGTAATTGGATGTGGCATTTACAACCTTTCTAGCAAAACCACTTTGAAGCAGAATTGCATGCAGTTTCATAGAGAACACACTGCACAAACTGTTTCTATATTCCTGTTTCATGGAATCAAACCAACTCCCACATCTCCGTGAATGTGATCAGAATCTTTAGCAAGCGTACATAAACATACATTCTAAATCTTGAAAAAGTCTGCAACTGATGTGAGCAGCTCTAGGAGTCATTACAATCTGAAAAATACTAACTATCCACTACTGTCTGCTCTGATATTGCATCAACACTGCAACCAAAGCATCTTCCAACATTGTATTTGAGGGGTAAATTTGACTTACCTTTAGCACCATCAAGTCATCAAAGCTGCAGTCCACAACAAGGCGAAGCGTGCTGGGAACAACTTCCCTTCGCATACGCTTTCTGTCATTCCCTTCATTACTGGTGTCTGATTTTGACTGACGTTCTAATTTTCTCTTCTGGCGTTTTTCTTTTCGTTTCTGCCTACACAAATAAACATACAGATAAATCTTTGAAAAAACGTTGTGCTGAGGCGCACATTATGCACATAAATGCACAGTTCTGTGATGAAGGTGGATGGCCCATAACAGTGGTAGTTTAATTTCTCTCTGTTGCTCGCATCTGTGCCAACAGAACCATGAAACCGATACCCCAACTCTGCTTGTGAAGTTCTGGATATACACACAAAGATAGATATCTGTGATGATTCAAATGAAGACAATGGTGAGAGTTTTGCAGACTTAAAGGTATTCTGAGTCAGGTCTTCTGCCCACATATGCTTCTTCCCAACAACAGAAGAACACAGCTCACCATTGCCCAAAAACATTTTCACAGGTAAGTCCACGTAACTAACAGTACAGCATTTCATGTGTCAAAAAAGGAAAAAAAAAAAAACAACAAAACAACAAAAAATGAACTCAGTGCTTTACAAGATCTGCCAGCAACAAGGAAAGGCACATCCCATTCCTGAGATTCATCCCTCCTGACAAGCCAGTAACATGCAATTTTGAAGCCCTTCTCCTATCTGCTTCAAGCTGAGGAACACTTCTAGCATGGAGAAAATGCTTACCTTTACAGCTTCTTCATTCTCGGATGGAGCAGACTGTGACTACTGCTTTAAACCTGGTATGGGAAAAAACTGGTTCAAGTGCCCTGATTTGCTAAAACTATCTATGCACAGATTCTGCTGACACGCTATGACCATCACAAGAAATTAGCACACACAGTCCTACAAAAACCATTTCGTGAACCATACCTTCGGAGATCCTTCTGTTCTTCCCACTGTTTTTGCTTCAGTAGTTTCTTCCTTTGCCTCTTGGACATGGGCTCAAGGCATTCTGCTTTGCCTGTGCCTTCCTCCTGTCTTTCTACTTGCCTGTCACACGACTTCACCTTTGCTTCCACCTCAGGCGCATCAGGGGGCATGGTGCTTTCTGTTGGTGTTCCTGATGACATGAGCTCCTGGCTGGCTTACTGACTTGTATCTCATCCGCGTGATAAATATGTCACGAAAAACAACTTTTCATCTCACCAGTTCTGTAAGATACAAGAGAGTAGTCACTAGAAAGCTATCAACAACCAGTTCAGTCAGAACGAACGCCGTTCTAACAAACATCTATCATAAAAAACGGAGTGCCTTTTGCGGTTTGCTTAAAGCCAGGTTAATAACACATAAAGCACCAGAGCCGCGCTGCACGCCGCCAGAGGCATTCAGCGACCTCAGCTACACGACAGCGCCGCGCCACCCGGGGATGCCCGGGCCACGAGGCCGAAGAGGAGCAGCCGCCCAGCGGCACAGCCCCGCCCAGCACAGCGGCACAGCCCCGCCCGCAGCACCCGCGCCCGGCGCTCCCCTGGCCGCTTCCTGAGGGCTCTCAGGCACGCACCCGCACAGCTACACATCTGTACGCACACGCGTGTGCTCGTATCCCCACACGCACACAGAAACACACGCGCATCTTTATTCGCGCCCCCCAGCCACCTCATAACTCACCCGGCTTCTCCACCCCCCGCCTCAAACCTCCCCAGAGGCGACGGCGACAGCCGCACGCTGCAGGAGGCAGAGGGGCTCGCGCCGGGCCCTCCACCAGGCGGCCATCCCCCCTTCCTCCCCGCCCCCCAGCTCCCCGCGCGCTCCCCTCAGCGCTAACGGCCGCGGCGCGCGCAGACCCCCACGTACCCGCGCGCCGCCCCACGCGCCAGGCCTTCGGAGGAACAACCGCCTCTCGAGCGCACGCGCGCGCCCTCCCCGCCCTCCGCGACTTCAAATCCCAGCGGGCTACGGGCGGCCGTCACGTGCTGCCGGCAGTCACCACCCCGCCGCCCCCGGTGCTGCTTGGCGCTGAATGGTAGAGCGGTAGATCCGCTTGGGTTGGAAGAGACCTCAGGAATCGTTCAGTTCCAGCCCCCCCGGCCACAGGCAGGGTTGCCGGCCGCTAGCCAAACGGCAGATCGGGCTGCTCAGAGCTCCGCCAATCCGGCCCTGAAACCCCCCAGGAACGGGGCATCTGCCTCCTCTATGGGCAGCCTGGGCACCTCACCGTACTTTCAGTGCAAAACTTCCCCCCGACATCCAGTCTAAATCTTCCCTCCGTGAGTTTAAAGCCGTCCGCCCTTGACCTATGATGCCCCTGGAGGATCCGTCGGAAAAGCGCTGCTTCCCACCTGGGGAGCTGCGTGGGCTCCGCGGATTGAAGGGAGCAAAATAGGCAGGAGAACTTGCTCGGATGGCTGTGCTGGCACCAGCGAGTTCACACAGAGGGCAGCAGAGTCCTTCTGAGCGCTGCCATTCCTCAGGGAAGATGCGCCTTACAGCTCCATATCTGCATATATAAAAGCCCCCACCAGCTGGCTCTTGTGCCCTTAGTGCCAAAACGCATGGACAGTGCTCCTTCCCCTCCTGATCACTTCGTGAACAACGCTGCCCGGGCACAGGAGTAATGCTGGAGCCTTGGGTTATGAGAAAAACACAGTTTGGGCAGCCTAATTCTGTATGCCGATAGCGGTTTGCCTCTGGCTAATGAGGTGCGTGCGGCAGACAGGAGGTGCGTGCTGCCATCATCTCTTCTCCGTGTGCGTCGCTGTTTATCTCAAGTTTCACTGGTTCCAGATATACACAGCCTTACAGTCCTGCTGCTGGTTTCAGGTTTGCTATGGCTAAATTAAAGTCACAGAACTGTATGGGGCCACTACTGTAAGACGCTGACCTTTAGCTGCTGTTCATGCTGGATATTTGCTGTAATATTTGATTTCATTTGTGATTATTTCCTGCATTACTTTATAAATAACCAGGTTTGCATTTGCTTCTGCTTGCATCTATTGAAGATCTCAATTATGTTACTATTAGTATCTAGATTTCCACAGCAGGTTTGTCTGTGTGTCTCCCTGCCCCAGAGCAGAAAGAAGGATGTCTTGGGAGCACAGCTCACTGAACCCCTAGCACTAACTGGAAGACAAAGATGGGCTCGGATGCTTTGGTGCACGTGGGTTGAGGTGAGAATTATGAGCGTTTGTGAAGGGAAGACAAAAATGTTTTATTGACCCCTGAAAAATGTGAGGAAATCTCATTAGTTTTGTAAGGTCATATAAAGATATGAGCTTTATTGTTTGGACTCTGGAAAGTGTGCAGCAACAGTAATACTTTGACCCTAATACATATGCCAGCATGGCATGAGGTGTCCATTAAAGGGCTGATCCCACAGCCTCTGCCTGTAGTGGACTTTGGTGGGTGCAAGACCTTTTCATAGGTGTCATTTGATGTTAAGGAAGCCACTACTGATTTAGCCCCAGCACAACTGAGGAGAGGCTCAGGCCTCCCCTTTTCCAGGTATTCTAAGATTGCACCAAGTGTGCTTTAAATGCACGTATGTAGTTTTTTAGATATAAATATACATACATGTGGAAGTACGTAACACTGTTTCTCTGCACATACGTGATGGTTAGAGACTTAGTTCTGTAACAGGCATACAGTTGGCTGGTGTACAAACAACTACACCAATGTAAATGATCTGGCCTCTAATATTCTGGCACTAAGAGAGGCCTTTGTTCTTTTAACTTCATTTCAGGGAAGACATACATTTCCTATGTCCCAGGAGTGTAAGAGGGGGATTACTTTCCCCCAGATTTCCAACCAACATCACCTCCTCCCAGTGAGTGAAGTGTAAAGATTCATTTCCAAAGCAGAACCTATAGTTCTGTTCTTTTTCTAGCTAGAGCTGTTTTGCATACTGATTTTGTCATTTCTAATTTTTTTTCTAAAAATGAACAGAGAGCTTGGGGAGTTTCTTGTTTACCAAATGCAGCAAAAGGATCAGCTGGAGTGCAGAAATGCATACACACATAGGTTACCTAACTCTTACATGCAGCAAAACAGTGCACAGAAAATAGAGCTTAGAACAAGACACAAGGAAACAGCAATATGAAAGCAGTATATCTGCCTGATAACATTTCCTTCTGCAAACTGTGAGAAGGACTTGGCTTATGGATTCAGGGATATACTCAAATTAACAGGGAAAATCAATCTCTTGGGGCATCCATAGAGACTGGAAGTGTCTCCCGGAGACCCCCAGCTGGTTCCGTGTGTGCTCTGGGCTCTATTTAGACATCTTCACTTGTGTATACATGAGGCTGTGCCTCCAGTCCCTTCAGTTCAGAAGCATCTTGCAGCCTGAGTTGTGGAAGCAGAGTACCTAAAAACCAGAGAGCAGCAGGAGCAAGGTTTGTTTCTATCAATCCCTCCCTGCCTCCTTCCCTCTATGCACACACACACAGTGCAGAGAACTTCCAGGGGGCTTCCACCAGGTGTGGGGATATGAAGGAGAGGACCAGTTGTGGCTCTGCTGCTTCTCACCATTGCATGACATTTGCAGCCACTGTACCAGGCTTCTCTGTCAGCACAAGGCAATGAAGGAGGCATTTATGCTATCACAGGCTGTTCTCACCTAGCAGTCCTTCACTCATACAGAAGACTGATTACAGAAAAGGTATTGCTAGCAGTTAAATACAGCCTGGGGCAGCACTGCTTTAGTTGGGATATTTGTAGCTAGCAGCCAGCCAAAAGTCCTAAGGCTGTAATGTAATGACAATGCAAGTAGCACTCTAGCCTATAGTGGGAAGTCATTTTGTGGCAGGGAGCTATTTACAGGACCTAGCTTGCTGGAGAAGAAAATAAAAATCTCTTGCTAAAATAACCTCTGAAATAGAGAAAGAAAGCATGGTGATGGCTGGTGGGTATCTATCCTTCTTATCCCTACCTTACCCCTACTTAAACATGTAGGGGCAGATCCCTCCCAATGCAGAAAGAAGCAGTCTTCACTGGCTTGGGGAGAGAGTGTCCTGGCACAGATTTTGATGTGCAAAGTGTTCTGAGGAACATGCTGAGGGGTTAACACGCTGCCACGCAGTTATCCGAGGGACAAGGGTTTCCTTAATGAGCCCTCTAGCAGCAGGGCTGACTGTGGGATGGGCTGGGATTTGCTCTCAGAGGAAATGGGGAAACGTGTGCTTTAGTCAGGTGAGAGCTTATTGAGAGATAAACTGAACAGAAGGAAACTGGAAAATATGGGTGAAAAAAGAAGGGCCAGGTTTGCCCTGTTCAGGATGAAGACAGAGTGGCTGGCTTGTTTCATCTTTTCAGTCTCTAATCTGCTGCAATGAAGTAATATAGGGGCTGCTAAAAAAGAGAGAGTTTCTTTTGTACAGTATAAAAGCCAAGGAACTGATATTGCACATCAGTCTCCTTAGCAGAGCATCATTTCCTTTTTTTTTTTTTTTTTAATGGCACTGATAAATTCCTTGTACTTCTGCTCCCAGACCCTTACAAAGCATCTGCTTCTGTGATTGCCTATACAGCTGATTCCTGAAGTTGGAAAGCAATAGTGAGAAATTCAGCCCCTGTCAGCAGCACACCTTTGTTCAAGCAGGGGAGTGGAGGGAGCTCCTGGTTCTGCCAGGTCTGGAGGCTGCCTCCACTGCTCAGCAATGTGGCTGCATGGGCATTCAAAAATGAAAGCTGAGGTAATCAATAAAATGGGTAAAAACTTCCAGTTACCCTAGTTCTTAATAATTAACTGGAAGTCCTTCCATGAACTTAGTACCTGAGTGTGGAATTTGGAATCTGACCCTTACTACATCTAGATAAACACACTGGCTGGTGCGGCAGCTCCCTCTGCAAGCGCTGCTCCATTGTCAGCAGGTCGCTTCTTGGAGGCTCTCTTCCTTCTTGGAGGCTTTCGCACTTCATGCTGCAGTCAGGAGCTCGGGGCAGTCCAGCATGATTGTTCTCACCGTGCTGTTCCTTTGCATCATTTCCACATATTCAGCCTCGGTTAAAGGTAGGTCAGCCAGGGCGTAACTGTCTTTCTACAGATGCGTGAACATCTTTACTCCGCTGTACTTGAGTACTGCCAAACACCTGTGTTAATTACAGAGGTTTTTAGGTGCTGGTGACGTTCATGTCAGCACAAGGGAGGCAAGAGGTGATGTCTTCAGGTGCTCACGGGCAGTGGTGCAAGCCAGGAAACTGCGGATCTTGACCTTGCTTAGTTGAGACGCGCTGTGGGGCACCGGCCGGAGGGGGACTGTTAAGTTAGACACACAGAAGTGCTCCAGTGGAGCAGAGCCAGGAACTGCTCTGAGCTGTCCAGGTTTCATCTTCTAAGCAGTTGACTCAGCTACCACTGAAGTCAGTAGCAAGCATCCCATTAATTTCATTGGGAGCTTGGTCTGCAATAAGTCACGGAAACCTGGGTGTTTGCATGGGCCCATGGAGCAGGGCTTTACTCAGGTGTCCTGCATAAAGGTCAAGGACATGAAAACTGGAGACTGTCTGCTCTAGTAGCACCAGTGTATTGAAAGAGGAAAAGGGCCATTCGGTGGTGGCCTTTGTGGACAATCTGACATGAATCTTACAGGAGCAGCAATCTTACAGCATCTGTTGTTTCAATTGAATGAGAATGTCCTCCACAGGGAGAGGAGAGAAGGAGGGGAGCACTTAGCTGCAAGTTAAACTGTTAAAAAGGTGGGAGAAGTAATCCTATCAGGCACTGTGTCTGGGAAAGCATAGAGCAGCAACCTTCCTGCCTGCCTCCATACCCTTTTATGACAGGAATTATAAAGCAAAGAAGTTTGCAGGCGGTTCCTCTTGCAGTAGAAAACTCTCACTACACTGTCAAGTGACATTAATGGCTTGGTACTGATGGGCCACACTTCTGGTGCCTGCTCTTCCCAGCTTCTTGTAACATCAACTAACCAACA